AAACTCTTACTTGCATTAACTACAATGATTTTGTCAATCGTTATTTTTTCTATTTAAATTAACATTCTATTTCTTCTGTTTTTAATTATAAGTTTAATTATACAATATATCATATATATATATATATATATATAGATAATATGATTACAAAATTCGTATAAGAGAGTAGCCGCGCGTAGCGCGGCCAAAAGATCTAGTATTAGTAATAATCTAATCTCTCTCTCTAATAAGCATTTCGACTAGGTGATAGTATATTATCCATGTGAGCTGCGTGCAGTCTCTTTTAAAGTTAAGATAATATAATATTTATTTGGGCATTAGTAGAGAAATCATTAGCAGATAAACCGGATCTAGGCAGTTGCATCTGCTCACATGACTCTCACTATTGATTCCACTATGAGTTACCGTACGTTCTGCGTCTGGTCCAGCATGCGAATACTCTTAGCTCAATGATCGATTGCTTTATTTTTGCAGACTCAGTTTACCTCTTAATTTACGACGTGTTCGTACCTTTTAGATTACGAGGTGTTCGTACTTCTTCGTAGACGACACAATTGCCTGATGTAGATGATATACTTTTTATTTTAAAATATTTTATGTTTAAAAGGAGATTTTTATTTTTATAAAGTGATATAACTTAAAATTTTATAGTAAGTTACCTAAATTAATAAAAGCTGAATAATTTTACTGGAATTTAAGTATTTGTATTTAAATTGTAATTTAAAAATGATAAATATACAATTATAATATTATCTATAAATAAATATAAATAAAGTTGTTCCACCATTTAACATCAGTTTTTTTTTTGAAAATAAAATTAACATTTTTTATATAAAATATTAAATGATATATTTATTTATAAAAATGAGTTCTCACGCGATCGCGTGGATTCCTTATCTTTTAATTGCTCTCACTTCGTTGTTGTAGAGAAAATATGAAAATAAATTTAAATTTTACAGATTGGATTTATAAGTCCATTCAAACTTTCATGATATTACAAATATCGCAAGTATAACTCCATATAATGAGTTCTTATTTAGTTTGCTAGTAAAATCCTTTTTTATTTTCGGACACAAAGGTGCTGCATATAGCTCTTTATTAAATAGCAGCTTTGAGGAAATTAGCAGAATCAAAGGGCCTCTGTCTGGAACAATCAATGTTAGGTCCGGGAGTGGCTCCTAAGATATAACAGCACCTCACATAAGACTCAATCCTATCTGCATTTCTTTTGTCCGGGCCATGTCCACACTCTTTTCCACCGTTAATGATATTCGTAATCACACCGTAACCCGGAAATCTCTGGGCCGCAATGTCTGCCTTTGAAGGATACCATAAACCGTTTATCACGTCGTGGCTCCGCGGTTTCGCAGGGGCAGAAGGTTTCATCCAGAACAAAATCGCGACTCTGAAAGCGATCACTGGGTCGCTAGAGACGAGGTCAGGGTTGTTGAGTAAGTCGGCTCCAATGGCTAGTCCATACATTCCGTAGTTGTGGTTCCCCGTCAGCATCATAGGTCCTCTTCCGTAGTAGCGTTTGCCAGGTGCGCATGGCCACCCCTTTTGCGGGAAACAGTAGTCTGATGGAGGATTCACCTCTTCCTTGTAACAGTAACCTTCACCATGCAATCATTCATTTCGTTAATATATTACTCACAGCTTAGTCCTAATATATACGTTATTTATTAATTAAAAACAGATGATAACTATTGATGTGTTTAATTTGGGATATTATGCGTTAAACACTTTCTTGTCCGTTTACATTAAGGTGTATGCGTCACCCGCATAATATTTACCTTATTGCTATTATACTTATTTATATATCTGTATAAAGTATATATAATACAAATTCGGTACAGTTAACTATCACATAAGCGATATTTTTTTGAATACTGATATATAATCTTTAAATAAACTCGTATATATATATAGGTATATATATGTAATTTTACCAAAAAAAATAAACTCGTATATATAAGTATTTTTTTGGATTACCGCCGGATTGGTAGTAAGTCTGACCAAAGAAGGCGGCGAGCTCTCTCTTTCTTGAAGAAGTGTCTCCGACCATTCCGAAGTTGTGGAAAATTTTAGCGGCGGCAATAAAGGCATCGTAAGTGTAAAAGCCTCTACCGGGACAATCACCCTCGTTCTTATGGTTAAGCATTTCATCGAACTGAGATCTTGTAATGATATCAGTAAGACCGCCGGTGGGATCAGGAGGAGGAGGAGGATGAGAAGGAGAAGGAGGGAGAGGCGAAGGTGGAGGAGGAGAAGGAGAAGGAGGGGGAGGAGAAGGTGGAGGAGGAGAGGGAGAGGGAGTAGCATCGGGAGTGCACTGGCTTTGACAGCCAGGTAGCGCACAGTAAGGTTCGGTGGTACCGCAGAATCCGAACGCACTGCAGCATAGACCGTTGGGGCAGAGAGCACCTTCAGCTTGTCGACCACATTGCTCGGCTGAGGAAAATGATAAAAGAGACGAGAAAATGATGAGTAAGAGAAGTAGTAAACTCTTCATTTTGCTCTGAGTTTGATGGTTTCTTAGTGAGCAAAGAAGTGGATATATATACTAGCACTATGCAATATACAATCAATAATGAGTGTTAAATTTAATCACATCAAATTTCATAATTTTCCATAGTTATATATGTGACCGTGGAGTGTGGTGGGTTCACGATCAACTTTTTCACACATAAAAATAAGAAATTGAGATTTCGAGAATGAATTATTATATGAAAACGCATTGGACGAAAGACTCTCATTTTTTTATAATGACTCAAGACCAAATTATACACATGTTTAATTGATTATTATAAGGTTTCTCTTCATATTCTAATCTTTTCTCCAACGAGTCATGTTTTAAAATGGTGGTAATGATAATCTCGACGGAAAAAAAAAAACCTACGTGCATGCAACTACTGTACATAATAATGATCCAATCTCTCTCTCTCTAATAAGCATTTCGACTAGGTCATATCTCTATCCATGTGAGCTGCGTGCAAGTCTCTTTTAAAGTTAGATAATAGAGTATTTATTTGGACATTAGTAGAGAACTTATCTGACTTTCATGCCTAGTTGGAGAACCATTAATCATAGGCAGATAAACCGGATCTAGGCAGTTGCATCTGGTAACATGGGATCTCACTATTGATTCCACTATGAGTTCCCGTTCTCTCCAGCATGGGAATACTCGTAGCTCCTTGATTGCTCCATATTTGCAGACTAAGTTTACAAAGCATTATCATAATCTCCATCATCTGCTTCTTCTCTTGTCTTTAAGGGAAAACAACTACTAGGTTCATCATCTATTTTGTCACACATCTCTCAACTTGTAGTAGTTTGATCCAATTGTTATTAGTCCTTCTGAAAAAGCCCTATGTGAAGGTAAGTTTTTATCGATAAAGGATGAATAATTATTGGTTAATCGCATTAGAAACAATGTCTTGCTGTGACAACCTTAATTAACCCTGTAGAAACTTGAATGGACATAATAACAATTATTGGTTAAAGGCATTTGCTTAACAACGAGCTATCATGTTTACAATAAACGAAATTTGTGACCAATTTAGAGCCAACTACTGTCTATTAGCAAGGGTAAATTTTGTAGCTAATTGACATGAGATAACTACAAAATTGCTTACTAGTGACAGATTCAACGACTGATTTTTTGTATTTATTTGGCTATAAACTTTTTTTTGTCAAACAAGCTATAAAATTTAACAATGGATTTCTCTATAAGAATTTACATAGCTATTTAATTTGGCTATGGGTTAAGATATCCGTTTTAACAAAGAACAATAAGTCTCATGTTTAAAAGAAACAAAATATCATCTCTTTTTTTCTAGCATTTGCATTGGTTTGGATTAATGAATCCAACAATAACATTTTTTACATTTTTCAAGTGATAGTATGATAGCAATTAACTATTTTGAACTAGATTACAATAATCTAATCCTGCTTCTTAAGATAAATAAGGACACACAAAGGCCGATGGATAGAAGTAAATTTCTGGGTTTTGTCGATCTATTAATCATCATGAGGTTTATCTCCAGTTAGAACACAGCCACAATCCACAGAGATCAAGGGGTTTTAGAGTATGATTAATTATATTTTTTAAACTGAAATTCTTAACTCATGATTTGACAATTATTTTTATTTTTTATATTTTTCAACTAAGAAACAACTCTAATATCTTTTATTTAAAAGATGTTTCCAGTTACAACCATAAACAAACTCATGATAAAGAAAAAAAAAAAAAAAACTAAACTCATGACTCCATCATTGGTATAGCGGAGAAATATTCCGTTTTGGTTATGTTAAATTAGGTCCAAACAATTTTGAAATGAAGCAGTTCCTTGGTTATCTAAGATCAAATCATATAGGCCTTAATTCGGCTCTATGCTCCCAAAGTTCGCTGGTTAATTACATTTCTGTGGTTGATATTTTCAAAAGAAAATATATATATCACCCAATCAAACTGTATTAATTTAAAAGTCTTTTAAATGTTAAAAGTACTCCTAAAAACGCTCCCAATTATTTTTATTTATTATTTTTGTTCACAAAATTAATTATTCTTTTGTAATGATAACTATGAACACAATTTTTAAATATTATTTCACACACTCACATTACAGACTGGAGTTTTGAAAACCAAATTTGAATCCTAATCATATCCACCGTACACGTGGAGGAGCCTCGTCGATTCCGATGGTTTTGTTTTCTCACTTGAAGTCGGTTACTAGCGTCTCTATAAAGCAAAACCCAAAACATACACAAATATAAACATCTCTTGTGAAAAAATCGAAACGCCAATAAAAGACGTTGGCAGAGAGAGATGGTGAAGCCAGAGAGGAAGATAGTGATGAAGAAGAAGAAACGACCATCACGACCATCACGATTCTCTAACTCCACAGATCGATCTCGACCCGCTGCTAATTTCGAAAAGCTACGAGACGATCTCTTCCTCGAAGCGGCGAAGCTTGTAACGGAGAATCCTTCCCACAGAATCGCGATCATCATCGCTCCTCGTGCCTCCGAACCTAACGGCGCTATGCAATCGTTCGGTCATCCGTCTGCGGAAAGCGTGGTTCGGAAGTTTCTCAAGGATTCTGCTCCTCCTGAGAAGGTCGTTGATGATGAGGAGGAGGAGGAGGAGGAGGATGAGGATTGGTCGAAGTATTACTGGTGGGAGGATGAGAAGTTAGTTAACTCGAAGGATCCGGTGGAGATTATGGCGGCGATGGAGGAGATGAAGAAACTGCAGAAGCAGCTTGAGGTTTTTAAATCTAGCTATTTCGGAGGGAGTGGGAGAGGTGAAGGCTCTGGGACTAAGGATGATGAGTCTAAACCCTAATCCGAGATGGATTGAATGTTCAAATCAAGTCTTCATATCCAGCGACGTCGTTTTAGGTTTTAATTATAAGGGGAAAGTTATGTGATAAGTTGCTAATTTCGAGTTAAAGACTATGTTTTACTTTTGGTTATCTGTATGGCTTCTCTTTTGGTAGTGGTACTTATTAAAGCATCAATGGGTGTTATGACTTGACTTCCTTGCGGTTCTTTATATATGCATAAGAAGATGGATCATGTATTGTTTATAGTAACATATCACACATGAGGGATGCTGAATGGTTTATTTCTAGGTGGTGCAAAACATAGTTTAGTATCGGGTTCGAGTTCAGTGTGTGATGAGTTTTTCAAACCACGGCTCTATAAGAATTGAATTGCTGCTTTTTCTCATCATTTGTGGGTGTCTGGTTCGAGCTCTCTGCTGGCTTGGATGGCATGTCCCCTTGCTTTATGATAAGAAAATGGATCCTCTTCACCTCTTGGCTCCTGTTAGTGTGTGATAAGGAAACACAGGGTTGTGTTCGTTCTTTCTGTGGGATCATAACACAAGGCAAGTTGGGAACCAAATGTCACTTTAACCTGTCCCTGATGGAGCTTATATTGGCAACTATATGGGAGCATTGATTAGAACAAGCACAATCAAACTGTCATTAGTTCAGTTTTGATGGTAGATCCTTGCACTAGGGTTGATAGACTTTTCAAACAATTGGTTGTTCATTAGCTTATCCCACATACTTGAAATGAAGCAATATGGGAATTCACATTAGCAATCTATATATTTCTCTTCATTAGAGAATTAGTCACACCAGAATCCAACTCTACTGAATATCAGAACTACTACTAAGTGCAAGGAACCATAATAAATATCAAAGAGTTATGTAACGGAACAAGATAAGCATTGCAAATAATAAGACAGATGGATGCTTTGGTGTTCTCCAGTTGTCAGGGAGCTCCACAGATATTGACACAGATGATACTAGACTACTTCTCATTTAGGCAAGAACGTAGAAGCTCCTTACCGTTGCCTTAGAGGTCTCTGTAAAACAATGCGTTAGAGGTTTGTATTTGTTGTCTCTTAAAAGGAAAAAAAAAAAGCATGAGTAGGCAAGTGTGAATGGATTTACCCTTGGTTCATTGTTAGATTCACGGGGTTGTCTACTACTTCTACTGTCTCTGTCTGCATCAGCCTCCGGCTTGTCATGCTTATAAAACGCTTCCAAGGCTCTTCTCACAAACGGGCGGACTAGGTTCACTTCCATTGCTGATACACTAGAGATCTGCATTTTTAGAATTGGGGTTAGGCTTATTATACTGAAATCATTCTTGAGATATAATGAGCAAAAGGCAACGTCAAGAAAGAGTAAATAAACAGTTACCTTTACTGCAGATGTACCTTGAAATGATCCTAAGTTAGTCTCCAGTTTGTGAAGTCTCACATCTCTGATGTCCTCAACTAGCGATCTTACCTATACAAAAATTCAGTACCAGCTCCAAGGATTCAAACACATGGGTTTAGAATAGGAGACAAATCCCTTCAGATGTATGAGATTACCATATACATGTCTGGAATATCATCACGTGCACTGCAGAAAAGTAAGAAACTCATCATCACCTTCAGGTACTTAAAGATGCAAGGGAGGAGCAACGAAACAAGTAGAGTCTAAACATCACATACTGATCAAAGAGTAGTCTAGCAATCTCCACATAACTAAATGGTAATGGCTGAAACGTCGACTGAGACTCACGTTCTGCTTCCAAGATCTGAGTCAAATTGTCTAGTTCACACAGGAAGAAGCGAGGAGAAACAGTAACACTTAAGCATTCAAAAATTCATCTGCAAGAATGTGAAAATTGTTGTCTTTACCAACAGAAAACCACCCTGGAGGCCTGAAAGTGCATTTCCCTCTCCGTTTCAGTGCCACTGCAAGCCACAGAGGGACTTTTGTTGGAATCTGAGGAATGAACCGACCAAAATCCCCCTGTCACCAGTTCAAAAATTAAACCACATGGTTAACCAACAAAAAAACGGTTTTGTTCGGTCCCAGTGGTTTCAAAAGATTGTATATAAACAAAAGAGATTATTACACTAATGAAATTGAGCGGGTTCATGTTCATATTTGGAACAATCTCCACCATTTCATCCTCTGCCATAAACTCAACCTGGAGTGAAAACGCTACATCAATTAAATATTTTCAAACCATAATACAAACAAAGAGGAGGAGGTGGAGAAGAACCTCTTGAGGAGAAATTAGTGAGGTATGAGGATCAGTCTGTCCAGCCATGGCTATATCTCAAGAAAAATCTCAGTTCCCACTCCTAAATTGAAAACAAAAAAAGAAAAACACTGTATTAAAAAATAGAAGAGACAGAACAATCCTTGTGTGAAATTACTACCATCTATTAAATAAGATGCTAAAACAAAAGCTAATAATCATCTCTTGTTGACATTTAATCAAACACCTTGTCTACACAAATTCCTCCGTACAATGCTAGCAAAAAATTTCCGGTTCCAATCTCAGCAAAATCATGAAACTACCAATCAAGAGAATCTAACACATGGAACAACTAGTGAACTGCGTTAAGATCGAGAGATTCATTACCTGGGTTAGATTTTTTTAGTGAATATCAGAGCGAACCCTTGAGATTCTACGAAACGAGAAGAAGACTAGTGTTCGAATAGTGTTTCTTTCTTCTACGTTTTGGCGGGAAATCAGGTATCGGTGTAACGGGGAACCAATAACCGCCTGTACGTTTCGGTTAGACTCGGTATTTTAATTGAACCAACCTCAAATCAAAGCCAAACCATTGAACCAACCTCAAATAAAAGCCACACCATTGAACCAAACCAAAATTTTATTCTGATTAATTGCTTTGACATCATGATTACCGCTAACTGTTGGTTCAACATTAGTAAAACCATGTTTAACCCTAGTGGAATTCTTAGCTTCGGCTAAAAAAACAGTTCTTACTTTTTCTTAAATTTTAATTAAGATAAACTAAAAAATTCTTATTTTTTCTTAAGTTTTAATTAACAAAAGCTAAGACCAGTATCTTAAATAAGAAATATAAAAAATATTTTTTAACCAGAAAATATTGAAAAAAATATCAAATCTAAGTTAAAAATCCCAGCTAAAAGATAAGCTTAATCATGGTCTAAATAACAAAGAATCTTTAGTATACATGATACAGTTGAGAGTCACAACTATTGTACACAACATAATCTATGTGAAATAAAACAAGAACTGTTGTTAGGGACTAACCTCATCCCAATTGTGGAGTCATTTACAAAATGCCAAAGCAGAAAAGTAAAAAAACAAATGTACTTAAAAAAAAAAAAAAAAAAAAGACAAATTAGTCTTTGCAGAAACTAAGTTTACAATTTATTCTTATTCTCCATCTGTACATCCACCACACCCACCAATACTTGCCTCCTTTTTTTTACACTGAAACACCTGATTCAATAGCTCTACCTCTGTTCACGTCAAGATCTTTGTTTGCTCCTCTTCCCTGATGCTTTCCTTGACGCTGTGACCAATACCCGTATGCTCTCAAGACCCTGTCTAGCAGTTCTTGTGGCACAGGCTCTCCTCTTCTTTGCTGCGGTGATATACTCGCTGTGTGAACCAGAGTCTTCCACTTGTCCTGTAAAATCAAATATTAAACTACTGTGGAATGATACTATATGTAGTTTGTGTTTAGTGTGTTTACCTTCAAGTCCACGTAGGTTCGATGATCTGCATCCTCGAAAGCACGTAGTTTCACATCACGCCATCTGTGTTATGATATATTCGAACAATTAGCTTTTTGAGTTTTGATATTATAGCTCACGACCAAAACCACATGAAACTATATATATACCTCCCGGTTCCCAGTTCTTCAACTGCTTGTACGAGAGCTTCTACCTCTGTCACTGAGAAGGGTCTTCTGGTTCTACGCTGAGCAAGCTCAGTGCGCTTAGGTTTCTGGTTTAACGGAACTATGGCAAGCGCATCAACTTCCAAGGGAGGAACTGGAACAAGAGCTTTTGAATCTGTTGATGGTTGTTCAACAACAGGTATCATCTCCTTCTGATATGGAACTAACTCGAGGTTGTTCTCCACAACATCCGCTTGTGGAGTTTCAGTATCTAACGTGGGTTGAGCTGCAGACCTGGAAAGATCATTAAGAAAACGCTTTTGCTTAAGAATCTTTTAAGAAGAAAGAAAACTAACACAATGATAAGACAGTGAGTTTGTTAGTACCGTTCAGACAAATTTGTAGGCTCGATTGGTATAACAGGATCCTCGGAACACAAAGGCAGGGGAACTTTGCTGGGACAAGGCTCCAAGGTGAACCCAAGGTTGGTTAGATTCTCTTCACAAGAGATCCCAGTTTGTGACAGAGTTTTCTTGTCATCTCTGACCTTCTTTCCATGGACTACAACACCAACACGTATTCCACCGCTGAGTAAAACACTGACAGCTTCCATCACAGTCCTCTGTAATTAAAACGGGTCAAGGGTTATGACTCTGTTATATTAAAACCTCTAATGTCCACACAAGAGAATCAAGCATAAATAGACATTGTCATGTACCTTTAGTGATCCTACTGTTGCCGTTTCTGGAACTTCAATAAAAAGCTCTGGAATCCTAAAGGACTTGATACTTAGCTTCACTGCACCAGAGAATAACATGAGACCACATTACAATCTCTTCAGATAAATGTCTTGAGTCTCATATACCAACCGGCCAAGTACCATGGTAGCCCTTTGAATGAGGACAACAAGAGCTAAGATAAGATAACTGAAGAGTTGCAATAAACACCTGAATCTCGCTTCTCAGGTAACTTTGAAATACTTCCACTACTGAGTCCTCCATCAGAAGTTACAACCGAGCTTCTGTCCGGTGATCTTCTCCTCTTGTAAATGTTCTCACGCTGCCATGCGTTGTATCCATAACTTGACTTCCTTTTACGGTACAGAGCCTTTATGCCAGTATCTAGACAGTAAAAAGCAAAAAGTAAGAACAGTGCAGAGCACAAATTTAAAGTGAATCAGGTTTGTGAATACGTACCAGCTCTGTAGTGTCCAAAGTCCTTAGGAACTTGTTTCCAGTATTTGGATGACAGAGACTTTCTTATTCTTCGAACCGTTGGAGACCTATACTTAAACTTATTGCTAAACTTATGGTAACTATATAACTTTTCATCATCATCTCTACCTAGGTTAGTATGGTTCCCTTGTCTAGCAAGGGAACCATTCACGCGAGATGGTGATTTTAGCTCACCATCCACGCATACTGATTTAGGAAACTGCACATCTAATGCAGTTAAGTTGCAAGTATCAGCGACCAAGCCACCGGTTGCTTCTACTTCTCCAAAACCAATATCCACATTAACATCATGTGCCTCCTCAATGATGCCTTCAGATTTGACGTTCTTGGTTTCACACACAGGAGTCCGCTCCAAAACGCCGTCATCAGGAAATGAAAAACTGTTCACCACACACGTCTTCTCGCTAGTGTTAGGCCTTGAGACAGAGTTGTTTCCTTGGTCAGAGGACTTAGATTTAAAAGGCTTGTTGTCATGGTCTTCTTGTTTAATCTCTTTACCGAAATGATTGTGGGTATTCCCTTCAAATGCGTTGGAAGACGCTGAGGAACTCTCGCATTCCTCTAGCAACTTGCCTGCTAGAGAAGCAAGCAAGTCCATTGCATCGGTCCTCTTGTTAAGGACTTTTCTCTGAATTAAAAAAAAAACAACAGAGAGCAATTCATGACACAGATCCAGATGAGATTGAGATGATCATTTTTCTTTTTACCCTGCATGAACGAGGAGCCTTGGGGATATTAGGGTAATCAAAAGCAACAGAGACGCAGTCTAGCTTCCTTTTGAACACCATCTCTCAGCTATGCATAACACTACAAAAAAACCACCAAGGAATCAGCTCAAACATTAACATTGAGATGAAACATAACTTGAGACGCACGCACATGTAAAAATCCAAATAAATAACACATTTTCAAGACTAGAGATCCAAATGTTATTCACTTATGTTGTGTTATATAAACACGAAAAAACGAAATTCAATAATTTCAAAAAAAAAAATCAATTAGGACACAAAGACAAAGGCAGATCAGATCTCAAACATCAAACTGAAAAAGAAAACAGTAACTAGATCTCCGACAAGTTACCAACTTTTGTCGACCCGACCCGACCCGGTAAAGAATTTAATCAGAAAATCAACAAAATTCATCACCAGAGATTACAGATCGCTAATTGATTTCGATTGAAACTCACCTAATCAACGTTACCAGCTCCTTGATCACGATCCGAGCGCCACTTCAATTACAGATCACGAAAACAGAACTTCAAATTGATGTTTTTTTGTAAGTATATAAATAATGTACAAAGGAGAAACTAGAATCGATCTATACAGAGAGTTTGGAGAATCTGAGATTTTAAAACAAGGAAGAAAGAGTTATGTCTTTGTTCTATAAAAGAAAGAAGAAGGAGACGTGAAAAGCCCACCCCACACAAACAAAAACCCTTTTTTAATAATAATATTCTGATAAATAAATAAATTAAAAGTTTTTATTTTTATTGACCACACAAATGACAATGGGGGTTTTGGGGATGAGGCAGTTGAGGGGAACCGGTTGTTGACGGTTACTCTCGCGATTTTGTATTAAACCCTTTCTTTCCGGTTAACCGGTTGTTGAGGGTCACCCTTCTCTCTCGGACCATTTTTTAAATAGAAGAAGATAGGGTTTTTGTCAGAAGAATCTTAATTTTAGGGATCGGATAAAAACAATATAGTAGTGTGTGTTTGTGATTGGTGTGTGGGGTCTTTGTCTTTTTTTTTTTAAGTAGCTCTCTCTTTCTACCACGTGGTTGAGAGAAGCCTGTGAAGAGTCTATTGCTTTGGTTATAACGTCGTCACAAGGGACAACATGAAGTCCTCGATGATTGTTTATATGCTGTTTTTGTTATAGATGTGTAGAACCATGTGCTAATGTGGCCGAGATGAACGTGACGTATGTTTTAAAGTTTGAATCATTGAATGTGGTGTGTGAATGATATCATGTTCTTGTGTTGGATGCGCTAATTTCTTAAATTTAATTAGGCTCATGTGAAAGCCAAAATGTGTTAACTAGCTAACATAAATATGGTCAGATGTTGAATGGAATGGAATATACTTTGTTTATACCTTTCTTGGCCTACTGATGTTGATGGTGGTGGACCCTTTGGAACTTTCGTGATAATGGGCCGCAGGACGTTTAGTTAATGGGCTGCGTTTGGCCATTTCTGTTGGAATGCACAATGAAATAACATAGTGCTACCTCGAATCATTATCTAAACTATTTTTTGTTTTTGGTCAAGTGAATCTCGCTAATCAAAAGGTTTTTTTCCATTAGTGCCTCTGATGCTTGGTCATGGTGATTAAGATTCGTGCATATTAAAAACTCTTTGATACATTTTGTTGATTTTCTTCACTGAAGCCTCATGTCATGAATTGCATTGATCACAGACTTGAGTTGCATGATTATTGGACCACGGTGACATTAACATTCTATAAAGAAAATAACACACGACCAACAAGGAGTTTATGGTAATTCATTCTTAAGTATGGTCTTTTTAAAACATGAAGAAAAGAAACCTTATTCTCTACCTACTTATCTTTATGATTTTCTTTGCTAAAGCCTCCACAATGGGTGGTGTCAAGCAAGAAGAATATAACTTCTATAGTATTTCACACTTTTATGTTCATGATATTACATAACTTAAGAAAGTTAGTTATGTAATATCATTATATATATTTCACACTTTTATGTTCATGAATATATGTAATTCATGAACATATAATTGCCATATATACATCATATGGCATTTAAACAAGTTATTACTTATTTGTCTTTCCATCTTTCATTTAATTTAACAATTTCATTAATTATACACCTTAACAATATATCCCATCACTAATTATATTACCATAATAATAATAATAGCACAGATTTTACTTATTAGTTAATCAATATTAATTTTGTGCCAATTATAAAAATCAAAAATGTAAAATAATTGAATTTTCCCATGGTTAAAAATCAGTTTAGTTTGTTTTACGAAATTTTATTTATTTATTTTAGTTTTAATTGTGATACATATTCAAAGACATACATCAAAGACATGTTTATGTGAATAAAATAATAACTTAAATTAATATAATAAAAATGTATTATATTAATTGTCACATAATTTTTACTCCATATAACTATTTTACTAAATAAAAAACCTTTTTTTATTTGACTTAATTTAGTCAAACAAATACAAGTAGTCCTTTTTACTACTTTACAAAATCAAATAAGTATGAATATTGGATGCCCAATTAGGTACGAATTGTTCCTTTTTGCCTTTTGGATATTTAGGTTTCGGAATTATGTTCCACTTTGATATCATTATATGTGTGGGTTTTGAGTTGGGTCCTCCCGAATCTAGATGAGTTCGATTTACATGTATAGAAACCTAAAATATCTAAATAACTAATGCATCTGAAACATGTTTAGATATATGTACCAAAAATAACCATATTACTTGATTCAACCAGAGTTTCTGAATACAATTAGTTATATGACGACACATCTAAAATATATAACACTAATTATGAAAATAAAATTAATGTATAAAAACATAAAAATCAATATTCACACGGACGCACAGATCATGTTCTAGTTATATTTATGAAAAAATTAAAATAATCAGAAAATAATATAAATTATCAAGATAATAAAATTTTAACGATGTAAAATTCTTAATAAAGACAATAAATCATAAACCATAAAACCTAAAAAATAATTAAGGACTTTCAAAGTTTACAAATCCATGTCCCAAGAAGGCTGATGTGAGATAGAATTTAATAAAATATTCACTCTGATTTTAAAATTGTAAAGAGATAATATATATAAGTGTTATGACTTAAAACTTGTAAAATATGAGATTTACTTTAAAATATATAGTTGACTCTATAAATCTTGGTCAAGTGCAGAAATCCAACTTAAATTTTCTTCTTAACACATTGTTTCATTAAATCTAGAATTACACATATTACATCATAAAAATCCAGAAAATAAAATACAAATTGTTACCCAATTTGACTGATGTACTTTCTTATTTTATCTTCCTTTTTGTATCTATCATTTTCTAATTCCACATTTGCATAATATTCTTAACTATTTTCAGAATTGAAAAAACTGCCAAATGTCAATCTTATTACATTTTCCCCTATGACTTTCTTTCAAAAATGGAATATAAAAATACATATTCTCAAATAAATGATATAATACCTAACAAAAAAGATTTTATTACCACAAGTGTTAGTCACTCATCAGCTAATAAGGTCATTAACCTTTTGAATCAAAAGTTCAGTCAAGACTGACGGCGTTACTATTACCGCAAATCCTCTCAACTCCGTTAACTAACTTCCGTCATAAATTGCGAGTCTTTAAAGTCTCTCTCTGTCTCTGTTTAGCTCCTCTCTCAAAAAATTGGGGATCATACAGAATCGCCTCTTCGCCGTTACGCACTCTCCTTCCTCTAAACTTCTCCGTCAGGTTTAGATTCCTCCTTCCTTTCTCCGTTTCTATTAATCAACGAATGATCCAATTAATTTGTAACTGAATTCAAAAAATATCTAATTGATTTCGCAGTTAAATAAAATTATCAGATTCGTGGATAAGGTTGCTTCCAGATCCTTAATTCGATTACGTTTTTGTTTGTATTATAAACCTGATTTGGATTAGGGTTTTGAAAAGGGCTTTTTTTGAGATTAATCCAATTTCTTTGATATTCAGGTGGGATTATTGCTCTTCATGTGTATTAGTGTCTCTTAAAGCCATTTGATTTGGAGCTTTAGAGTGAAAAAGAAACAAACTTTGTGGTGGGAATCTTTAAAGATTTTGTTGAGATGAAGATATCATTGAGTTGCAGCTATGGGTTTGTTGATTGATTCCACTCCTTATTAGTAGAAAGGAGATTGCTTTTTAATAAAATTAGTAAGATGGGTGAGACACTTATCACAACTCTGTCTATGGAGAATTATCACCCGTCGACGCTGTTGTCAATGGATTCAGATGCTTTTACTCATGAGGAGTCAGAGAGGGAGAACAACAACAGGTCGCTTTTGCTTACGGGTCCACCTGATATCAACCTACCGCTCTCATCTGACGCAAGCCCGTTTCTGTGGAATGAGCACTGTGATATCTTAGAGGTGGGGCTTGGGGCTCAGATTTATGAGCCTGAGGCTGTTGTTCATGTCCCCAAGGTTGCTAAGAAGCATAACAAGAGGGTTGATAGTGCTTGGGGTGCTTGGCTTTTCTTTAGCTTTTACTTTAAGCCGGTTTTGGATGATAAGTGTAAGAATAAGTTGATGAGGGATGGTAATGGGTTGTCTGGGTATGATAAGTCTGATTTGCAGCTTGACTCTTTCTTGGTTCAGCATGATATGGAGAATATGTATATGTGGGTTTTCAAGGAGAAGCCTGAGAATGCGCTTGGGAAGATGCAGCTGAGGAGTTATATGAATGGTCATTCGCGTGAGGGTGAGAGGCCTTTTCCTTTTAGTGTGGACAGAGGTTTCGTACGCTCTCATAGGATGCAGAGGAAACATTACCGTGGTCTTTCTAACCCACAGTGTCTCCATGGAATCGAAGTTGTTCAGTCACCAAACCTCTCTGTGCTTAATGAGGATGAGAAGAAGAAGTGGATGGAACTCACAGGTCGAGATGTGAACTTTGCGATTCCCCTTGAGGCTAGTGATTACGGTTCATGGAGGAATCTCCCAACCACTGAACTGGAGGCTGAGCGAACTCTTCCTCAGGCTAAAGCTAACGGCCACCTTAAAAAGCTCAACGGTACCTTTATGACTCTCTCTACACATTCACCAAACCATGCAGCTGACTCAGTGGAAGCACAAATCGCTTGTAACAACAACAAACGCAAAAGAGACTGTCTCGCGTTAGGAAACTGCGACGATTCAAGCTCAAGTGAGAAATCTCTAGACATGAAAATAAACACAACAGAGCTGCTGCCATGGTCAAATGATTTCACTGGGGTGATGAAGAATGTGTATGGACCAGTCACAGCTGCGAAATCGATATACGAAGATGACAAAGGGTACTTGATAATTGTGAGCTTGCCATTAGTTGATCCGGAAAGAGTGAAAGTAACGTGGAGAAACACACCAACACATGGAATAGTGAAGATATCATGTACAAGTACAGCATGTGAGCCATTCATCAAGAGACATGACAGGACATATAAGCTAACAGATCCGACACCAGAGCATTGTCCACCAGGAGAGTTCGTCCGAGAAGTCTCCCTACCAAACCGGATTCCAGATGACGCCAAGCTTGAAGCTTACAGAGACGAGACAGGAACAACGCTAGAGGTTATAGTACCTAAACACCGTATGGGACCAGAGGAGCATGAGGTTCGCGTCTGTCTCCGTCCGTTTATGCTAGAGTGAGAGTCAGTTTACTTGTTAAAAGGATTGTATTGGTTCATGTAATCATTGGATTATTATTCATATTTAATCATATTTAAAATTGCATTTCTTGGACGGTAAGAAAATTAAACGTCGATAATATTTTTTAAAAAGCAGCCGGACAGAACATAAGCAGGTTCAAACACACAGAAAAAAGCAGACAGAAACATTAAACAAACTCCATAACATGAGAGGTTAAGAAACTTAATCAACTTCTTCAATCTTTGGTCCAGCGCCTCCGCTACCACCGGTAGGAGCATCATCGTCCATGCCACCAGCACCACCCATGTCACCACCAGCGCCTTGGTACATCCTCGCAATGATCGGGTTGCAAAGAGACTCAAGCTCCTTCATCTTATCCTCAAACTCATCCGTCTCTGCAAGCTGATTACCCTCCAACCATTCAATAGCTTGGTCGATTGCATCTTCAATCTTCTTCTTGTCAGCTGCATCCAGCTTAGAAGCGATCTTCTCGTCCTTGATCGTGTTCCTCATGTTGTATGCGTAATTCTCTAAAGCATTCTTTGCATCCACCTTCTTCTTGTGTTCTTCATCCTCTGCTTTGTACTTCTCCGCTTCCTGTACCATCTTCTCAATCTCTTCTTTCGAGAGTCTTCCCTTGTCGTTAGTGATTGTGATCTTGTTCTTCTGACCTGTAGTCTTGTCTTCAGCAGACACGTTGAGGATACCGTTAGCGTCGATATCAAAACAGACAGTGATCTGAGGAACACCTCGTGGCGCAGGTGGGATACCACTCAGCTCAAACTTCCCGAGAAGGTTATTATCCTTGGTTCTTGCTCTCTCTCCTTCATAGACTTGAATCAACACACCAGGCTGATTGTCTGAATAAGTCGAGAAGATCTGCTCTTTTTTGGTCGGAATCGTAGTGTTCCTCGGAATCAAAACAGTCATCACACCACCAGCAGTCTCCAAACCCAAAGACAAAGGAGTAACATCAAGAAGCAACAAATCTTGAACCTTCTCATTCCCTTCCCCACTCAAAATCGCCGCCTGAACCGCCGCACCATAAGCAACAGCTTCATCAGGGTTAATACTCTTACAAAGCTCCTTCCCATTAAAAAAATCTTGCAAAAGCTGCTGAACTTTCGGAATCCTAGTGGACCCACCAACGAGCACAACGTCATGAACATTACTCTTATCCATCTTGGCATCTCTCAAACACTTCTCCACAGGCTCCATACACTTCCTAAACAAATCCATGTTCAACTCCTCAAACCTCGCGCGCGTTATCGTAGTGTAGAAATCAATCCCTTCGTAGAGAGAATCAATCTCTATCGTCGTCTGCGCGGTCGAAGAGAGAGTTCTCTTAGCTCTCTCGCAAGCCGTTCTCAACCTCCTCAACGCCCGTGGATTCCCGGTGATATCCTTCTTATGCTTCCTCTTAAACTCTTGCACGAAATGATTCACCATCCTGTTGTCAAAATCCTCACCACCAAGATGTGTGTCACCAGCCGTGGCCTTCACTTCAAAGATCCCTTCCTCAATCGTCAACAAAGAAACATCGAACGTCCCACCTCCAAGATCAAATATCAACACATTCTTCTCTCCAACGTTCGACGCCTTTTTATCAAGTCCGTAAGCAATAGCTGCAGCAGTTGGCTCATTGATGATACGCATCACGTTGAGTCCGGAGATTACTCCGGCGTCCTTTGTAGCTTGACGCTGAGAGTCGTTGAAGTAAGCGGGGACTGTAACGACGGCGTTTTTGACCGATGTTCCGAGGAAGGCTTCTGCGATTTCACGCATCTTTGTGAGGACCATGGAGGATATTTCTTCAGCTGAGAACTGTTTCTCTTCTCCTTTGTAGTTGACGACGATCATAGGCTTCTCTGCTGGCCCGGAGGTGACCTTGAAAGGCCAGTGGCGCATGTCGGCTTGGACGGAGGGGTCACTGAATCTTCTACCGATGAGACGCTTAGCATCTGCAAGAAGAAAAAAAAACGTCAACAACAGAACTCATTACTCTGTTTAAACACCTAAACCGATTTTTAAACTGTAAAGAAAACGGTTAGCATCTGCAAAATCGCTGAATTGACAACTAAACCGCCTAACCCGATTTTCTTAACTGTCATTAAGACCAAAACCGCTAGATGGACGCCTAAACCGCCTAAACCGATTTTTTTAACTGTCATTGACGCTTTAGAGTCTGCAAAACCACTAGATGGACGCCTACACCGCCTAAACCATTTTTTTTTTAAAACTGTTTTAGCACTAGATGGACATCTAAACCGCCTAAACCGAGTTTTTAACTGTCATTGACGCTTAGAGTCTGCAAAACCACTAGATGGACGCCTAAACTGCCTAAACCGATTTTTTTAAAAAACTGTTTTAGCACTACATGGACATCTAAACCGCCTAAACCGATTTTTTTAACTGTCATTGACGCTTAGAGTCTGCAAAACCACTAGATGGACGCCTAAACCACCTAAACCGTTTTTCTTTAAACTGTTTTGACACTAGACGGACATCTAAACCGCCTAAACCGATTTTTTTACTGTCAATAAGACGCTTAGAATATGCTAAACCGCTAGATGGACGCCTAAACCGGGTTTTTGAAAAAATCTACTGTTATGTATATAATATTTGAGCAAGCATTACATACATGCAAGAGGTAGAATCCAAGGCAGTTGGAAACTTACCAAAGACGGTGTTGGTAGGGTTCATAGCGACTTGATTCTTGGCGGCGTCTCCAATGAGACGCTCGCTGTCGGTGAAGGCGACGTAGGAAGGAGTAGTGCGGTTGCCTTGATCGTTAGCGATGATTTCGACGCGGTCATGTTGCCACACGCCAACGCATGAGTAGGTAGTGCCGAGATCGATTCCGATCGCTGGACCTTCGCCTTTACCCGCCATTGGATTATTATCAAATTCTTTTGAATAGAGAACGTTTTTTTCTTCTTCGCGATTGAGAGTGTTTTGTGTTTGTTTCTGTGCATGAGAAGGAGAAGGGAGAGGTGTGTTTAAATATTGAGTTGAAAAGAAGTTCGGGAATGTTCAGTTGGTTGAGATGTCAGCCGTTGGATTTTATTTTTCCGCCTTTCAGTTTTCGTCTTTCCTTTTTATTGTCTCGTGTTCTCGCTCCTTCGAGAGACCTCTTTTAAAAAATGTTAAACTACACCGTTTTGATAGGAAGTCGAGCAGGATTTTTCTTTTTGAATAGTTCGACCGTCCATTATAATAGCAAGTATCACGCGGTAAAATTTACCATGCAAAAGAAAATTTCGTTATAACTTTCTTGGCTATGAAATTATAAAATACTTAGTCTATGACATACGAATCGTGAAACATATTTTCATTCGTTAGAAGATCGGATCTTATTAAGTTACGAAGTGTCTCTGGTTCTGGCTTTTATTCAATGACACCATCAGTAATCAATCACGTGTGTGTTTTGGGTTTTGCAACATGTCAATAAATCGGATAAGAACTATTAAGGTCGGGTGTGTAAAGAGTTTAAAGTTGCTATGATCAGAGAAACTTGAGAGACACACTAAAACCATTATTTGAGATCGGAGAGTTGGTGCATAGCTATAAACGGTGAAACAATCACGTGCTAAATACATCGGAAGCGACGGAGAATTTATTTTAAGGCTTACGAGTAAATTTATGAAACCAAAACTGAAACCAATATGTGATGAAATGGATTAGGGATATTAGGGACACTTGCATTGTAAACACAAGACTGTTATTATTCTCTCTTCTCAGGTTTAAAACAGATAAAAACTAAAAAAAAATTCATACATCATCTAAAAAATACATTAACTCAAGTGGCTTCGTATTTGGGATCAGCAGCTACGTAATGATAAGCAATTACCAATGCAAAGATGAAGATGCCAAGGAAATTGACTATAAACCCCAAGTCTTGATCATCGATCATCTGCAACCAACATTTTAGCAAAAGAAGACTTTTTATGTATCCGTAAACTGAGGCCAGTGTTCTTATTGTATATTAGCCAATTCATCAAAATGTGTTTAATTACACTAAACTGCTTTGCAAATCATAAAGGTAAAACAACAACATACAGCTGAGCTCCATAAACCCAACTCTAGCTAGACCTAGAATTAATTGGTAACACATTTGATTAACAGTAGCATTATCCCCAAAAAAACAAGCAAAAGAGATGATCCCAGTGGGAATCGAACCCACGACCTTTAGATTCGGAGTCTAACGCGATATCCACTCCGCTATGGGATCACATTTAAGAAAGTTGAGACTCAGAACATGTAAATCCCGAAACGTGACACAATCCGACAAGAGAATTTGACAGTTCTCGTCGACAGAGACAGATTCAAAGGACCATTACACAGATGGCGCCCATAGAAAAGCTTTCTTGACGCGAAAGAAACACACAAACTTAGACGACTAAGAGTGAGCAGATCAAAAACCAAACACACTTGTTGGAACCAGATCTCCCACGAAAGGATGCTTTTATCATAAATTTGAGCAAGATTTACCGTTTTATCAGGACGTAATCGATGGGAAAGGATAAGAAACAGATCTCCAGAAACCAGAAGCGATTTGCACAAACAGAGAAGTATTGGATCTCAGATTCTCGATGTCGGACGTCTGAGAGTTTCTCGTCTTTTATTTACTTCGGCACGAAACAAGCCTGGCCCATTACTTAATTTAACCTTTTTTCAGCACGTGGTAATTTTGTTGATTTTTTTTTTGTTCAACAGTGGACTAATTAGGAGGTCATTGTGTGTGGTTCAGGCTTTTGTACAGACGAATAAGTTTCTGTAGTTAGTGTCTCTTAACGAAATAGTGGCAGCCAGAAACAGCAACAAAAGGCATTTGGTTAGGTTCAGACTTTCACATAAGAATTATAAAGGCAAAACATTCGACAAATCAAAGGCCAAAAGCCTCACTATCTATAGTTCTCTACACAATACAAACCCCTAAATGGTTCTGTTCTGGACTCTGTACAAAAGCTGAGCTCCACGAAAAAATAAAATTCCTCGAGCTGCAGCCTCTGTTCATAATTTGTTAATTTTTTACACAGACAAGAACATAAGAAAGAAACATTCAGTTTGTTAGGCCAAAAAAAAAATTACATGCCAGCAGTTATCAGAAGCTCACTGTTTCTGTAAGTTCCTTAAATGCGCGCCATTCCCGCAGAAAAAGGAGAAGGCGGATGAGCCAACGCTTTACTATCAACAGCTTTCTTCAGATCTCAACCAAAAACCAGATCACAGCCAAAGTGATGTCAGATTAACTCACCAAACCAAGAAGCTATGTCTGAATTCACTTGCAGATTCCCCCCTCCCCCTTGCTACTTTCAGCGACGATTCCAGTGTCTATGAATTGTCTTTTACTTTCACTAAATTCTCTTCCTCTTCCTTTTTTTCGTGGTGGTGGTGAAGTAAGCTCTAAGATTTTGTGAATTCAGGGAACTTACAGAAGTCATATATAATAAACTGGAGAGTTATGAGATCCCCGATGAGCTCAAAGCTCGTTCGATAGCTGGAGTATACCACACATCTGCAGGTATGGATTCTCCAGCAGCTTCTCATTGTTGCTCTGCACAAAACAAAAGTAGAAGCAGAAGCTCATTGATATTTGAGACTTGAGAGGCTCTATGACTTCACACTGAATTATTAAAATAGCATTTACCTGCTGAGCCTTAAAGACAAGCTTCTGAAGCATGTTTTGGTATTTCTCCGGTTCCTCAGTCATCATCCTCTGAAATAAAACGAAACTTCAACCAGTGAGAAAGAAATGTATGTCTTTCGAAATCAAAATTGTGAGTTTGAGAAATTTTCTTGCCTTTAGTAGAAATGCTGAAGAGTAATAAGCCACCCTTGAGTCAGTATCATCCAGGAGTTCCCTGCATAGATAAAACATAAGTTCGTAAATGCCATGAAACTTGTTGCACAGATAAATCAACTTGGTTTTGGAAGTATGGAAGAGTCAATGAATCACCTAAAGAACTCCTCTCCACCAACTTCTTGAAAAGCAACTGTATCTGCGGTGCATTTACCGATCAGAAGTAATAGCAGGGTGGCTCGAATATCAGAGGTTGCCCCTGGGATATTTCCTCTTCCTTTGCTTCCAACTGCGACACCAAGTGCAATGTTGTCAGTTGCTGCACCTGCTAGTTGAATCAAGGGCCAATAAAACAAAGCCGCTGGAACTCGCGCGACCAGCTGCATAGGGACGGTGGCTTGCCCACGAAGAAGCATTGCTGCCATTGACGCTGTCTCGCTCGTTGAAACAGGGACACTGTTGTGCCGAGGCCTGGTGTCAGCATCTTCCATACTTTCTTTATAGCTGTTACGAAGGGATGTTTCAGATTTGCTATTTCTATCAGCAGAACTGTGGACTGTTTCCTCGTCAGGAGAAAGAACTTTCAAGCATAATTGCGAGAAAAGAATGTCACACATCTGCTTGGAAACAACAGAGAGAAGACAAAGATAAATTAAAAAATCGACGGAATTTTGATGCCAGTTACTCAATATATAGAACACAAATTTCTGATAAATATCAGCAAGCTTTAGAGTGTCCTTCAATAGGAGCATTGACTAAGCAAAAGAAAAGGGCAAGAAAAAAGGATTCCAGGAATATGTACCTTTAAGATATTAATCCGGTCAGTTTCATTTATTTGTGCCATCAAAGACAAAGCGCTGCTCATTATGTCTATAACAGCGTTTGCTTTCTCTAGTCGTGTGTCTTTCTGATCCTGATTAGCATTACCACCAATCGATCGCTGTGTCTCATTCTCATCTAGTAAGAACTTGGAACGCATAAGAAGCCTCTCCAGGATGAACAAGAAACCCCATCTTATAACACTGTTCTTTGACTTCAAGAGTCCACACAGAAGATGTATGGAAATAGGTATATCAGAAGTAATCAGTGATTCCGAGGCACCACAGTGGGCAATCTTTTGCTGCAGATCTTTTATGCTCAGCCATATACTTCCACCACCATCTTCACTAATTTCCGCAATCAAAAGATCCCCCAACCATATATATCCATTTTGACGGTATGTGGCTCTTTCTGAATGAAGAAGAGAGTGCAAAGTAGCCCAAGCTAGATTCACTGACATCCTAGTATCATTTCTTAACTCTTGAATGCTGTCCACGAACTTGTGCGATTTAATTAGCTGTTTGAGATGCAGAAATTCTTTGTCCAAGTGGGTAAACGAACGTATTATTGTGTCAAATTTTTCTGTTATACTTGCCAAAAGCTGCGAGCAAGGAAAAAGGGAGTTAGAAAAGAGCTCTGACTGGCAAACAATATAAACGAAGACACTTAATCAGCCCCTCAGAAACAATTTTCTGAAACCTACCTCGTTTAGACGTTCGCTGTTGCTGAACCCGGACAATGCTGCAGCAATTGATCTTCGCAGGATTTCCCCTATGCCTTCAACACCAAGCTTAACAGAAATGTAGAAAGCTTCAGGTGCATCAGCAAGAGCAAGCCGAACAGCCAAAGGTTGAATCTCATCATCAGTGTACTCAGAAAGGCCAGCAACTGAGCATGCCTCATTAATTTGATGCAGGACATAGTCAAATAAAACCGAGTAGAGATTTCTTCTTTCCTCTCTAGTTGTCGCCAAAGAGTACTGTATCAATAAGATGAATCCCTCAATCTTATAGAAAATATCTGAGGCTAAAAGTATCTATTTAAATGGTTTTTGAGAAAGAACTGAGTATATATTCGTAGTACCTTATAGAAAATGAACTCCACGCCACCAATCAGATCGACCTGTTCTGTAAGAAAATTTGAGGCTCTTGAAGTTGCTTTGGTAGAGCCATCTAGTTCTGGAGATCGATAAAACATGTTTGTCATGATACAAATAAGCTTGGAATGAACAACTTCTGACCAAGAATTCCTTTTGCTAGTTCCCAGAAGAGCTTTGATAACCTGATTCACGCAAAGTGACTGGCTCGTCAGAAAGCACAACTTAGCATAAGAGCCAATGAAATGGTAGCATGCCACCGGAAACACAGATCACATATACATTATCTATAAAATAAATCTAAATGATAGGAGGCAATGAAACAAGGAATTATTCACATAACAGAAGGCAAAGATAATTTTCAGCCTCCTAGGACAAACATACCCTTATGTCAAGACCATTTAGCTGGTTTCTTCGTATTTTGCCTCTATCACAGATAAAATATAGCAAGCAGCTGAGAGCAGATGCCCAAACGGATTCTTCCCTTTCCTCAACCTACGAAAACAATTTTGAAGGTATAAAATCCTACACAATTCTGGATTTGACATCAAACAGAGAAGCAAGAAGAGAGTAAGATACCTGAACTAGGAGAAGTAGAATTTCAAATAAGATTTTTAATATCCAAGACTCAAAGTTCTCAATAGCTGAAGAAGTGCTTGACAACTTCGGCAAGTCTTTCGTTCTTGTCCCTTGAAGCAGTATCCTGTTTTCATTATCGATAAATGTTTCTTTGGCGTATTCTTCCTCAATGGTTGTAGCATTATCACTTATCTTTGGCTCTAAAAGTTGTGCATGAACTCCTAAATTAAGAATTAAATCAAATACACGAATCCTACAAGCTGCATTTGTGGAGCATAGCATTTCCTGAAATAAATTTGCACGCGTGGGTAGAATAATTAGCAAGCAGTGTAAATATCACAATTCTGTATCTGACTTGAAGGCACACCTCGAGCATGGACAGAGTAAGAGGAGCAGCAATTCTAGCGTCCAAGACATACCTAAAAAGACAGGGTTTTTAAAACGGAGTACCATAAGCTTGTCAACAATAATAAAAGGGAGGAAAGGATAACTAGAAATCTTAGTAAGACTACACAATTAGGTTGGCTGCAGTGTAAAAAACCGTACATGTCAATTACAAGCTTTATCAGGACGCTCACAGCCACATCCATTGACGGCTTCCCAGTCTTGCTATTTAATTGGGGTGATACGGTCATTGGATTTGAAGGGGTGGATGATGCTTCGGAGCAAACAGCAGCGATCACCTCACCTACCTCGGCAGGGTTTAGGCGCAGTGGTTGTTGTTCACTGCAAAATCGTGCAGGGAACGATAGTCATTTGTTGTGATAGAGACGAAAGTTAAAATTTGCATCAGAAAGATGCTTTTATGCAGATAATCCCTTTTCACAAAACAGCCAATAAATACAGTTATTTACGCAAACGGCTTGATCCATCATGCACTTACACAATAGTGGAAGAGACACTCACAAGTCTCAAACCACCCATCAGTTACAGTTGAAATAATTAATAATATATACTGAACGTTATGAATTTATTCAATTGCAACTGTTTGTCGCTTATCGATTCACACCTTAGAGAGTCTAGTATTAGGTTTCGTCGATGTTCAAAAGTTCATAAGGGAAAACCTTATTAAGTGACATAAACTTACTAGTTACTATCAAGGAAGACCAGCAAAAAAAAAAAAAAGAGAAGCATTAAGTAAATGAAGGACCCAAAGATCATAAAGATATCCATTTCTTTACCTGTAATGACGATACTGAAAAAGTGGTCTGGCACGTGGACGAAATGTGCTCACTGTGGAATCATCCCTGCAGATCATGCAAATTTTCAATCTATAAACTCGCACTAACATTCAAATCAGAGTGTTATGCTTTAATAATAATTTCCAAAACATCATTCTCGGTAGGTCCAATCATACAAAACTACAATCCCTGAAAACTGCATTATGACACTTAACAGCTGGCATCTGTCTGAGGAAATAATTTTAATCACTTCTCGAATCTAGGAATCACGTGAAAGCTTGCAAGGCATAAAATGCAAGTATAATCCTAAGTCATCACTTTGCAATTTACTTCAGAATAACACAACAAAATACATACCAGATCTGCTGAGGGCCAGTTCTAGTGCGTTTGGAAGCTGTTATCGCTCTCAAATGGGAACGAGCTGAGGCTGAGTTTGTTATCATCGTGACTGAAGCTGGCTGCAGCAGCTGTTCTAAGTAAGGCATCTCTGCGGTACCAAAATATTTCCAGTGTTGGCCCTTCATTTTAGCTTCCATATCTCCTACGAGCAGGCCGGCAGCACCAACTTCCAAAAGATTACAATTGTTCATGTCTTGGAGATTCAAAGGGCGTTCACTAACCATGCAGAGAGAGTTCAATCAGTGATTAGTATTTTCTAGTAAGATACTAGAGTGTATAGTCAAGAAAAGAGGCAAAGGTGTGTTTGAACATTTGTAGAAAAAAAAACGTGTACGACTTACCTTTCAGAAGAAGCTGATGAAAACTGGAGCTCCCCAACCCAACGCCAATTCAGTAAGTCTGATGATATGTATTCAGTGTCTTCCATAGCATTAAATTCTTCTATATTTGACAAGTTTGAAACAGAAAGACTTGCAGTATCCTTTTTCTGCGGAGACTCTGCGGCATTTGCAGGACTTAATTGAGAATTGAATGATTTGCTCAACAAAGATGATAGAGATGGCAATAACTGTCTTGACGCAAGGGTAGCTCCCGCAAATGCCGCTGGTTGAAAGGATCGCCTTGGGATATGTAGTGCCACAAGAGAACGCACATAATGCAATGACTTCACCAAAGCTGCAGAAGCAAAACTGGATACAGGTAAAGGAGAAGCACCCGCTGGTGCTGATAAAACAGGCAATGATTTTTGCTTCAAGCTAGCATCGCATTCAGCAATCAGGTTCACGCAAAATTTATCGACTTGCAGTAGTGTCTCCTCCCCAGGCTTATATCTGTAGTGTAGGAACACCTAGGATCATTATAATGTAAAAATATAATCCATGGAAAACATTGGACATTACAGACAACCCTCATACTATAGCAAAGGAAAATGCATTCTTAATCTCTAGGTCTGAACAGCAATTCTGTCCCCTCCATATTCTAATGATCTACTAATTAATCAACCAAACGTAGCAAGCACAAACTATGGTAATAATAAGAAGGGTGATCTGAGGGGCTTTGATAAATGAAAGAGATGCTAGTTCAAAGAAGCAAATGAAAATAACCAAGGATAACAAATAGATGCTAGTTCGACTAGACTACATTACCTTAAGAGATACCGTTTAAGCAATGCCACACACCTCGTCACCACAGCTGGACTGCAGAAAAGTGATTGAACATTAGCAAAAACTAATATTTAAAACAATGACGATATTGAGAAACATTACGATTCCTAGACAATGATTTTACTGAATTCCAAGGCTTAAATCTTATACCACAGTCTTACTATCATGACATAAGTCTCGAACTGACCAAATATACACGTGCTGATTCAAAATATGAATCAAGATTGAATTACCTGCGATCTCTCTCTGCTATAGTATGCTCTAACAGCATGTTGTAGGCCAGGTCAGTCGTGCCAGTGGCTGATAAATAATCCTGTAATCAGCAAGTGACTGCGTAAGCCTCATACACTTTCCATAGACGCATAAAATAATATTTCCAAGCAATTAACAAAGGTCCTATTCATCCAAGAACATAGATAACCAAAACCACGCCTTCTCTATCCCTCTCACCAAAAAATTTGCATCCACTTTGGGATTCAAATCCAATGGCTTAAGAAACAACAATAGGAGTGATTGCGTGGTGTATCACCACTGTTTCCTAGCTTCAAGAATCAATTTCAGCATCAATACTGTTTAAGAAGAGCTACATCTATCTTGTTACTATTCGTTTAACCTACATAGAACTCGTTTATCAACGAAACGCCATTAAGATCTATCAATGGAGTTACTATTCGTATAGGCTCGCTATTCACATCTTAAACAGGATCTATTAGCCTCAAAAACGAGAGAGGGAGAGAGAATCCAATTCCATACTCTGAGATTCCTAAGAGATTCAGACGGTGCTACGGAAGGGATCGCGCCATGGTGAGATGTCGCCGGAGGATGCGAGGACGAGAGACAATCCGCGACGGCTCGGCGTAACGGCTCAGGCGGCTTCTTGGAGGAAGAAGATCTAAGGCGCGAGGCGGAGCCGAGCTGAAGCAACCGGGAGCTTCCGGGGCTCTGATTCTGGCCGGGGGTAAAAGAGGAAGACATTTTTGAAAATCGAATCTCGCCGGAGAACCGCCACTCCCTTAGCTCCGTGGAGTGAAGACTTTTTTTTTTTCTAATCGATTTTTTGGGTAACGTCGTGACTTTCACATCACAGAGATGAGCTGTCAAGCGCTTTCGTTTTTTCGATCCCAATGGTGGAAGAATCTGAAATCAAGGAAGCGTTGTTTTTTTGCAATCTGGTCCCCTTTGTTTACTAATGTTTTAGATTCAGTGTCATATCTTTATTTGTTGACATATTTGACCTAACTCCTGATGAAATATAAAAGTGGGGTCCAACAAACGGTGGTTTTTGTGATCTGATCCCCATTGTTTACAGAAGTTTTAGATTCAGAGCATCTCCAAAAGACTCTCTATAACTTCAAATATAGAGTTTTTTGCTCTCCAAAAAGAAACTTTAAAACTTTAAATTTGAAGTTTTAGGGAGTGAAACTTTATATTTGAAGTTTCACTTCTCAAAACTTCAAATTTGAAGTTTCATCTTTTTATTTGCAATTTGGTCCTTATATTTACATATCTTATCTATAATTCTTAAATATTTTCTTATTTATCATTTTAATAATTAAAAAACATTATATCTCACAAATTTTTAAATTTATTTCTATAAATTAAGTTTTACACATAAGATTAAATAAAAAAATTAAAATAAAATTTATATTATTTTAAAAGTAGAAGTAGACAACAAGAATATTACAAAACAAACTTAATTAATTTTTTTTTTTGAAAAGGTACATGAAAACATAATTATTATAGAAGTTTAAATATTACAACAACACTAATAATTTGGTTAATCTCCCCCAGATACTCCAAAATCTTCAAATCCAAACAAGTTTTTTGTAACCGAAGATGGTTGTTCTTGTTGTTCTTGACATCTTTTACGTATGATTCTTTCTTTTTCAGAACGAATGTACTCATGAGTATTAATATCACCGATAGAAGCTAAGTTTTTTAGCAATATTTTATTTTCCTCTTTTACTTCTTTTAAAGCTAACTTTCTTGCTTCATTTTTTATTCGTAATTCAATCATCTCATAATTTTATCCATGCTTGTTGCACTTTCTTTTAAAATTAACTTTCTTGCTTTCATTTTTCATTCGTAATTCAATCATCTCATAATTCTTAATATTTAATTATATATTTCTATTTCTAGTTTTATATTTTCATGTAAACTTTTATCAATTAGTATTGTTGTAATATTTTTATATATGTGTTTGCTATTTATCAAAGTTTTATGGATTTTCATTAATTGTGACAAATATAAGGACCATAATGTAATATACAAATAATTTTGAAGTTAGTTTTGAAATTTTTCTTTTGGAGAAGAATAGTTTGAAACTTCAAATATAGAGTTTGTGAAACTTCAAAATAGAGTTTCTTTTTGGAGATGCTCTCAGTATTATATATTTATTTGTTGACATATTTGAACTAAATCCTAGGACTGATACTTATTATCTTGGGATCTGGATCTGCTCCGAAAATAGAATATCCAAAATAATCGGATTCGGATAATAAAATCTTGGATCCATCTAAATCGAATCCGATTTTTAGGCTCGAAAATCTACATCATGATCTGTGTTTCTAAAAAATATTAAATTTTAAATTTTAATAATTATTATATTATATATATTAATATTTGTACATACAAATTAATCTTATAAAATAATATCTTAATTTTAGTAATATTATATGACATAAATATATTTATAAGTTTTCTTTAATATTTAGTTTATGTATTGTTTTAGAATTTTTGTATTTTAAAATATTTTTTATTATTTTTACGGATCCGGATCCAAATCCAGATATATGTAAATATCACAATTTCTTGATGGATATCTGAATTTAGATACTAAAATCACATATCCGATGAATCTTGATCCGGATAGTCTAAATATCCCGGATATCCGGATCCGTCAAGTCCTGAGGAGATATAAACGTGGGCCCATAAACGGTGGTTTTTGCAATATAGTCCTCTTTGTTGACAAATGTTTTTAGATTTAGCATCACATCTTTAATTCAACAAATTGATCTAAACCGGTAAGTGGGCCCATAAACGGAAACACAATGGCCCAGTAATTGGTCCCATAGCCCACGTGATTAGCTGAGAATGCAGATCCGTTCTTCGCGCTCTCGGTTTGCTTCTTCCCTACTGGCCCGATAAAATTAATATTATTATTAGTGACCCAAAAACAAAAAAAAAATACAAATCTGAGTTCTGTCTGTAAGGAGCCCTAGATCTAACCCTAGCCGTCAGATTAGATCAATGGGGAGATCTCTTCTGGACCGTTGGAATCTTAGGAAGCAGCAATGGTGGAGGTAGAAGAGTCTCATTTTGTGGGGTATCCAAAAGAAGGCGTGAAGATTATTGTTTCATGTTGATGGCAAACAATTCGAATTTTCTTCTATAGCTTTATATATTTTAACGCGGTGGTGGTGATGTGTGATTTGGTCGCGCGTACGGGTCGGCTCCAGCAACGGTACAAGGATGGCTCGCGTCTTGTAGCTGGGTACTGTTTTTTTTTTTTAAAGATTCACCTTTGTTCCTTTTATTACATATGTATTGTCTTAAAGTTCATGCTTTGGTTTGTAATGTGATTGTTTCTCATCCATGGGGATATGATCATGCATGATGGGTATCAAAGGTGGGATTTTTCTTTGGTTTTTGATTGGTTGCTTTGATATTTTTCTCTACACAAGATTCTACTGCGTCGTGTTCTTGTCTGAATCTCGATTTAAGCAGATTCATGCATTTAATTAGGATATGTCAGGCCTGTCAAATAGGATTGTGTAGTGTTGGCATGCTTTAGACTTTGTTTTGGTTGTTATGGTCTCTTTATCTGGTCTTGTCTTAGCTTCATGATTTTGAGTCTTAGTTATCGTTAATTTTGTTTCTGAAGATGTTGGACCTTGTTTAACAAGTTTAATGTCACGTGTTTTGTAGGTGTATTCCGTTTAGATATCTAGAAGAAGATGGTAATTCTGAATCTGGGAAAGTGGTTCAAGTGTTGATGATCAGCTCATCTAGTGGACCGGGGCTATTGTTTCCAAAGGTACAATCAATGCAGTTTCTTCTTGCATTTGATTCATCTTCTTTTGAAGTAACATATTTTTGATTCATGGATTCATATAGGGAGGATGGGAGAATGATGAGACAGTCAAAGAAGCTGCAGTAAGGGAAGCAGTGGAAGAAGCAGGAGTCCGTGGAATTTTAATGGTAAGACTCTTTCACACACCTAGTATAGTCCTTTGTCTTAATGTTAGCACATGCATGGTGCTGAATGTATAACAAGGTGACTTTTTGCAGGATTTCTTGGGTGACTATGAGTTCAAGAGCAAAACACACCAAGATGAGTTTAGCCCAGAAGGTTTATGTAAAGCTGCAATGTACGCCTTGTATGTGAAGGAAGAGCTAGAGACGTGGCCAGAACAAAAGACTAGAACAAGAACATGGTTGACGGTTCGAGAAGCTGTAGAGAATTGCAGACACGCTTGGATGAAGGAGGCCTTGGTTGAAGGATTCTGTAAATGGCATAAGGAGAAAATGGGCAAGATAACAGATGAAGATTGATATTAAACTGTGCATAATAACTCTGCAGTTGGTTTCATTCCTTCTGATTTTTGTTTTTACTCTTTTTTTCATGGAGAAGCTTGCAACTGCGAATCATGGTAGTTTCAAAAGTTTTTTAAAAAAATATCAATTGTTTTCCTGTTAAACAGTTGTCTTCATCATATTTCAATAATTCTGAAAAGAAAGACAGCTCATAACAATCATGTTTAGTATATACTAATTCATAATTAAGATGTTTAAGTATTACTGCTAGCTACCTTTACATTTTTCAGATGCTTAATTTATGAGTTGGTTATAATAATGCTACATATTGATTAGAAATTCAGTTGAATGAAAACCCCAGTGTCTTCTTGGCTTTTTCTGTCTAATCATTATCACTTCAGTGCTGTAATGCCATCTAAGAGTCCTTGAACAAATGATATACCATATAAGATCTATAACATGTGCTACCATATTACAGATTGGACCATTGTTGCATTTTGTGTCCAATAGAATAGAATAAGCTTCTGGCACTTATAATTTGAAGGAGTAAGAAAAAAAAAACAGTTAAACCAATATGGAACAAGAGAAATAAGGAACTTGATAAATTCTCCGGTTCAGCAAAACCGGAACCATATTAACATGTCTTCATCAAAGGACCACCGCACAAACACTGGTTGTCACTAAACGACGCCGCTTCAAGGTGATCAAAAGGAGAACCCGTTGGAATAGGCCCACAAAGCTTGTTATTACTGATATCCAAATGGCCCACAAACTTAGCTGACGAAAGCGAATCAGGGATCCGACCCGACAGACTATTATAAGACAAATCAAGCGCCACGAAATAAGTCGTGGATCCGAAAACGTCGGGTATGGTTCCTTCCAACGCATTTCGGCTCAGATTCAAAACACCAAAACCGGAATTACTTAAAATCGAACCGGGAATCGGACCGGTTAACGAGTTGCAATCGAGATTCAATAGAGAGAGCACCTTCATGTTTCCCACCCATTCGGGTATCGGACCTTCTATATGGTTCCTGGATAGATCCAGATCCGCTAACCGCTCCATACCCGAGATCGACTCCGGAAGCGACCCGGTTAGTTCGTTACGTCCCAGTAACGCCCTGCTCAGCATCTTCAACGACCCGAAATCCGCCGGAATCTCGCCGGAGATTCCGTTTTCCGTCAACTCGAGATGCTTCAGCTCCGTCAGTGACGTCAGCGACGCCGGAATCTCGCCGGACATCTGATTCTCGGCGAGGTTGAGAACTCCGAGTTTGGTGAGTTTGCCGATATCGGCCGGAATCTCGCCGGTGAGTCTGTTTCCGGCGAGGTCGAGGATGCGGAGAGAAGCTAAGGAGGTTACGCACGGAGGAATCTCGCCGGAGATTCCTTTCCAGTCGGCGAGGACGAAGGAAGTTAGAGCGGTTAAGGCGCAAACCGATGGATCGATCGTACCGGTCATGTAACCGGACCGGCCTGATTTTTGGAAAATTGCGTCTTCGGATTCGCCGCGGAGAGAAATGTCTGTGACCCGACCCGAGTCCGGATCGCAGCTGATACCGTACCAGTCTTTGCAGCAGTCTTTGTCTTCGGACCAAGTGTTGAAGATGCCGAGGTTTGGTTCGGTTAGTGATGATTTGAAAGCGTTGAGAGCCGTTTGATCGGCAGGGGAGCAGGATCGGACGGCTGTGATGACGAATGAGATGAGAGCTACGGAGAGTAATGAGGTAAGCGGCGATGCCAACAACTTTGCCATTTTTGAAATAAATATGTGACGGTGAAGACTGAAGAGAGTGGTGTTATATGAATATTGGGTTATATAGAAATGGTGAGGGAAGAAAAGAGAGACATTGCATGTGCATGGGTATCATGGGCATGTGCATTTTACTACTATTGTTATATACTGTATTAACTTTACAAATGTATTTTTATGCTTAAAGAGGAGGATCATGTGTGGATGTCAGTTTTTTTTTTTTTTTTTGAATATTTGTGCATGTCAGTTTTTACTTTAACTATTTGATTTATTCAGATGGATCAAGTGTTCAACAATGATCACATAAGAAAATATAAGTTCATGTGGATTTGTAATTCACTGGATTTTTTTTCTGTAATCTAAGTTGATATTCTTAAAAGTAACATACTGATTGTAATTACAGAATAAATAATTTTAAATGAGTTAGTTTTGTGATATATTCACATACTAATTGAAGATTTTTTTTATACAAGACCATAACTAAGATCAATGCATGGATTCTCAAGGGTAAAAAAACTTTCTATTACCCAATGTATTTTGCCATATTACAGAGCAATCATGCTGATTTGTCATTACAAAAACTCCAAAACTCCACATCAGTGAAGCATTATATGACTAATTATGATTGATAATTTACTAATTATTAGAGACAACATTTTAATAAAATACACGTATGGTTGGCCCTCCACATATACTTTTACATGTGACTCATGTGGTCCTACCAGAAGCATTTAAGCATCACCTCCTGTGTCCAGAGACTCTGATCTTCATTTATACCTCTTTCTTCCTAGGCCAGATTCATCATCAAAATTCTGTTGCAGTTGATCTAATTAGCCTTTATTTATACTAATATTTGACGTGCAACTTTTTACTAATAACCAATCTCACATATAACCTTGATGAGAAAATAATATTTTGGCTTCTCCAGCATTTATGGCCTAAATCTCGTAGCTCACGCTATCTTGGTTATGACATGATTCAACGCCCATCACATGCCAAGGGGGTGCAAGATCCATTTTAGTGGAGCTGTCTTTATTATTATTGTCCAACTGTTAGATCAATTTTAAACATAGAACTGTTTTCAATTATATGTCAGAGCTATTTAGCTCGTGACTGACAGAATTCATTTGAATTCTCAGACCTTGAAAAGCAATGTCATTTGTCTTTCGCATAAAAAACGAATTTGCAGTTATCTGTCTCTAACGTATCATTAACCTTTCCGTTTATGTTCATGTTGATACATGATACATTATACAAGACAACAAAAGCAAACATGGTAGATGGGGCATTCAAATATCCTTCCAACAAGAGATAATAATTTCTTTATCATAATAAACTCAGACCTATACATTGATGTTTCTTCAACTCTTCATGTTTTGTTTGTTTGGGATGAATAAAAAACAGAGTTAAAATGTTTTTTTTTGGTTATAAATAAAGAAAAAAAAAGAGAAGGAACAAGAAGTGTTTCTGCAATGTGTTTATATATAGTGGATAAGTTGAAATATATAGAATATATATTATAGATGTGGTGAAATGTGTGTCAAGTGGTAGAAGAAGGTCCAGCCAAGTCACCACCGCCTGAGATGGAGATGAGAGGTCGGCGTAAGATACTTCTACTAACGAGATGTGAATCAAGAAACACAACAATGACTGTTATATCATCATGAAAATGTCTCCTCACTCCTCTATCAATCTTTTTTAGATCTGAATATCTCATCTCTCTCTTCTTTGCTGCTTCTCTTAGAGCTGTTTTTATGAGCTTCCTTGCAATCCCCTGCACACATACATACATACGTTTCAATCTACATGCAGAGGAAAAAGAAAGAAACAAAGAGTCTTACATTACGAGGGCCAGTGTTCACAATGTCAACAGCTTCTTGATTACTCATGTGCTCCCATAAACCGTCTGATGCAAATATGAGAAACTTATCCTCTGAATGGATTTTGTGTACTGTAATTGCAGGCTCTGCTAAAAGGATTGGTGTATGAAAAGTCTCAGGCACCCTGAACTTTGCTAATAACGGCTCCCTGTTGAACTCTGCTTTCTTTAAGTATGCATCACCTATTGACCGTGACACCTTCAAGAAACATAACTGTATCATTCACATGAACACTACTATGATAGCATGAGTCTAGAAATAGATAATTTGCATTACCGTGGAAGTCTTTTTTTACCTGTATAATACCTTTGACACGCCACACTTTGTGTTTCAATACCACAATCTGAGGATCATCTGGATGCAACAAGCGTAACTCCTCTCTCACAGATTCAAGACTAGCGTTATGCTCTGACGATAACTGAACAGCCTTGACGATTTTATATGCTTTCTCCAGTCTTCCTAGCACCACCCGTGAGTCCCCTGCGTTAGCAATGTACAAAGATCCACTACATATGATCCCTACAAGACAACAAGCTCCAACGGAAGCAATCTGTGGCTTTGTCTGCCATTGCCGCCGCACAAGAGAAAGAAACTCCTCTTCTGTAGCTAAAAACGCTTTCGTTATTACAGATGCAGACATTCCATGATTCTCTGATGTAAACTCTGCATCAATAGAAAGTGTCAACACCAGTGTTCTAAAAATCGGTCTAGGAGGCACCTATGTATATGTGTCCGGTCTAGGAGGCACCTATGTGTCTGCCTAGTTGGTAAATCGGATTTGAACAATTTTAAATAAAAAACAAAGTCAGTCTAGGTATTCGAAAAAAAATCGGTCTAGACACCCGCCTAAACATTAATACTTCCTAACAACCACTTAGCTTAGCGGTTTGATCGAAACGATTTTTTCAAACATTTTTTTTTAAAAATCAGTCTAGGTGTTCAATTTTAAAAATCGGCCTAGGCGCCCACCTAAACATTAATACTTCCTAACAACCGCTTAGCGATTTCTAGAACATTGGTCAGCACATAATCTAATTTCAACACACAAAGCAAGACAAAAACAACATACTTACTTCTGATGTTATCAAAAAGGTGTTTATTAACAAACCGAGCAGCTTCAGGGCCACCATGACCATCATAAACACCAACAAAAGTAGCTTGAGGACCCGAATCAAACATACTAACGGGTCCTGACTCAAGCTTACTATGATCTTCAAGAAGATTATTAGCTTGAATCACAGACATTGAAAACTCTCCAGCAACATGATTACCAGAATCTTTATACCAAAGAAGCCCATCACATCTTCCATTAACATCTCCTCCTCTAGCTGAATGATCTCCTTTCACAGAAGGTCGTCTCCAACATGGTGCTACGATCCGCAATATAGTCTCTGATACCATAACTCACATATATAAACCCCTCTTCAAAGATATACACTTTTTTTTAACACCCAAACTATTCCTCCTTCCCTAACCAAAAAAAAAAAAAAAAACAAAAATAAAATGAATATCTCTTACATAAACTCAATGACAACGGATTCGTTGTCTGAAATCAGACAGAACTGGATCAAACAATACCTTTTGTTAAATCGTGATTAAGATCGAGATCAGGAAGCAGATTGTTTTCTGGTAAGGAGTTACGATGCGAGGGGGAAAGATCGTAACTCCGATTGGATTTACAGGAGAAAGAGGGGGGGAAGAGAGATGACAAAATCTAGTTGCGACTCTGTCTGAATTCCATATTTGGGGGTTTGATTTCTCTGTATTTTTCTATCTTTTTTAATTTTTTTTGAATTTTTTATCTTTTCTGTTTTCGATTACTTTTTTTTTGAATTTGTTTTCGAGTTTAGCTGTTTAGGCCATTGACCTCACAAACAACCCGGCTTTTTAGGCAGTTTTTTCTCCTAAATTTAGCAAATGTTTCTCTATTTTTGAAGAATAATTTATTACGACGTTATAATTAATTAATTATTTAATATTCTAATTCAGATGTCTATTTTCATACTACATAACATAAAGCCGTTTGTAGTGGTTAATTAGTTGAAAGACTGATATTTTTTTAAAAAAACTTCACTATAAAATTAATCATATGATTAAATAAACAAGTTTTGAAGATTATCGTGAATTTTAGTAAGGAATAGTTAAAGACACTATGCGCAAACACAGTCAATCCTCCAGTGTGTTGTTTGGACTTAGGGGTGTGGTCAAGAATAACAAGACCATTGTAGTTAAACACGTTCAAGAAAACCCAAGCCCATTTCAAAGAATTGATGGGCCATGTGTCACACTGAATCCCCCTTTAAAATTTATGCTTGATTCTAGAAGTTGTCCTTGTGCACTTACACTGCCATACCCTTAAAGCCCGGCACCATATGTCCATGGCACCTTATTTTATGTCAGCCTCCAACCCTAACATCTGCTGTCTGCAAATTGCCATGTTGCCATGTTTTTTTTTTTTTTTTTTTGAAAAAGGGCTTTCATGTTGCCATGTTGGACGTAGAATCCTAGACTTTTCACATGTCAGTTTTCCGTGCTGGCATTAATAGTCTCAAGAGCTTTTTTTTTTTTTTTTTTTTGGTCAAAGTCTCAAGAGCTTATTTTAAATTGTGTTTTTTATACTTTCTAAAATAAAACTTAACTTTAAAAATGGATTATACATAACCTATGCATGTTTCTGATCCTAGTCAGCACCTCCAAATACATGACTATGGTTTATTTCTCTCAGTATATTGTTTTGGTTCACTATTAATCAGAAATTGTAAAAACTTTTATATCCACAATTTATCCCTGTTTTAAAAATAATGGTTTTTTTTTTTTGATCAAATAATGGTTTATAAACTGTAAACAACTAGGTCCATATCCCCTCATATATCAATTATAATAAATAGTTTTAGAATATAGTCAAAGAACAGAAATGAAAGAGACGACATATTGGCCGGTGTATGGTGTCATAAGCCATTCTAGAATGATTGAAACGCAATATTTAAATCACATCCTCTAATTAAAGTGGACAGGGGTAGTTACGTAAATACAACCATACGACGGAAAGTGGGGGTGGTGGAGAGAAGATGATAAAAAGAGTTGGAGACGCGTCTCCATGAGTCCCATATTTCTATTCATTACCTCTCTCTCTATATTCTCATTTCGTAAACTCGCCGGAGAAAGGTGAAAAAATCAATAAAAAAAATGGCGCAGAGAACGGAGAAGGAAGTGACCACCACCACCCCGACGCTCTGTTCTAATAACTGTGGCGTTACAGCGAATCCAGCGACCAACAACATGTGTCAGAAATGTTTCAACGCCTCAATCTCCACCGTAGATTCCACCACGATCTTGAAGAAGAGACCGGCGAGATCTGTTAATCTTCGATCAACAACACCAGCGAAAGTCGTGATTCGTCCTCCCAGGGTGATCGACCCGGTTAAGAGAGATCAACAGACGATAAACCGATGTTCCGGTTGTCGGAAGAAAGTCGGTTTAACCGGGTTTAGATGCCGATGCGGCGACCTTTTCTGCTCCGAGCATCGTTACTCTGATCGTCATGATTGTAGCTACGATTACAAAACCGCTGGTCGTGAGGCGATCGCTAGAGAGAATCCTGTCGTCAAGGCGGCGAAGATGGTCAAAGTTTGAAATTTTTTTAAAAGATATCTTCAACCGTGAAAAACTTGTTAAGACAGATGCTCTGAGTCGGAGACATGGAGATTTGATGTTGTCTGTTTTGTAATGAAAAGATCATAGAGATTCTCTGCTCGGTTCAATCTGCACCTGAAATTTATTTCTTTTAACGTTTTTTTTCTTTTTCTAGTGAATGTTTAATTATTGTTGGCTTTACGAATTCAAGACGAAGTTGTCGAGTGGCATTTGTATGTAGATTCGGTAGAAATGAGGGGTGTTTTTGGTAATTTAGAAAACGATTCTCTAGTTTTGTGTGGTACTTTTTTTTATCAAAAATGTTATACTAGTCCATTGTGCGTCACAACTCACTACTAACGTGACAGACTTGTATGCTACATAACTCAACTAATAATTTTATTCGTTTATTAACATTAATATCTTTGTGTGATGCAAGATTATGTGAATCACGCAAGAAATATCTTTTGAAAAGAAGAAAGAGTTGAGTTTTATATCATGCAACTATAATTATAGATTACAAAAAATAAAAAAGTGACCATTAGTGTGAGTTATATAAACCCTGACCTTGTAAGAAAAGTCTTATTTCTTGGGCTTCTCCTAAGAAATCATGCAATTCGCATAAGTTGGCGGGGAATGTTATGAAAGCTATCCACCGAAGCAGCTGAAGATGCCAAGAATCCAAAATATGTGAGAAGCGTCTTTGACAGGATTATCCACTCAACTGGTTTTCCTTATGTTAATGTCTATCCCTCATGGGTGGCTATGTTGTGATGATTTATTTCGTTCTAACGAGTAACACTAGACTCCTCATACAAATTTGCTTGTTGTTCTTTAACAAACTAAACCTGCTGCCATTGTGAAAGAAGACTCATTGACTAAGGAAAGCTGCTCCTGGTGAGTTTTTTTTTTAATCATGGTATTGTAATTTCATTTGTCTGTGACAGGTTAAACTTCTTTTTCCTGTTGATTCAATTCTTCTGCATGAGTTGGTCTAAAGATGATATATACTGGCATTTGCAGGGACATTATCTACTACCCGCCCTTTGGAAGATGCTAGGTCTAGAACAATCTTTGTCGCCAATGTAATGACTCTTACAGTTTATTTACTCATGAACTGGGATTGAGCAAAAACTTCTCATTTGGTGTATTGATTTGAGTGTGTGTGGTCGTAAAACAGGGTTCATTTTGGTGCTACAAAGGATAGCCTTTCAAGACATTTCAAGTTTTCAACAAGTTTGGTGAAGTGCTTAGAGCTGGTATAGTTACAAATTCAGCAACAGGGCAGCCCAGTGGATACGTTGTCTGCATTCACGACCCTAATAATAAATTATATTGATATGTGCTTATGCAAAAGTTTGGTTACTAAATATCATATCAAAAAATATAAAATCAAATATTTGAAATACATATTTACGTTTTAGATATTTGTATTTTCTGATTAATTTCGATATTTGGATCGATTTTTTGAGTTTTTGATTTTTAGAATTATTCATCCGAGTCCAAGTAATAATATTCATATATATTTTATACCACCTACAAGATTCATTTTAGCATTTCATACATTGCAATACTATGTACACAACGGATTTCTTGGTTTGTGCTCAAATTTGGATTATGGATATCATAAAATACTGTTGTTCAAAAAAAAAAAATTCATAAAATACTACTACTACTAGAGCACAGTCCCACCTTACTACTCACATTCCTTCGGCCCAATAAACTTCGACCCAGCCCATTATGAGCATAAAACCTCCTCCTGTATGTTGTTTATAAAAGATTTAACAAGGCCCCCCTCCTAATTTCATTTATTTCGTTTGTGCCACTGTATAATTCCTCTTCTAATTCGTCCCTTTCTGATAGTTAATCAAATAAATCGAGCGAAGTGCTCTCTTTCGACAGCGAACCAAACCCTAACCATCACACAGACAACAAGGTTGTTAAAATCTCTCCGTTCTCGAAATTCAATCGCCGCCGTATGTTAGGGTTTTGATTACTGATTTTGATTGTTTTTTTCTGTCATTGCGGCGGAAAGTTTAGGTTTTGTTTGATTAGAATCTCCGATGGGAAGCGGCGACGAAGATCGGACTTTCAATGGTAGTTTCAGTGAGGAAGGAGTTGCCAAGTTGAAAGAGAGAGTGAAAGTTAAATTGAAGGAGTACATGGGAGATTACACTGATGACATTCTTGTGGTATGATTATTTCATCATTGAGGGTTGATTATGTTCATGTTCCTTGTTAGCTAATGGTTGCTGAGTTTCTTAGAAAATCTATTTACAGTGATGTGTATTTTGGTTGCTTATAGGAATGTGTGACTGAGAAATCTAATGAGAGTGATGTATATTCATGTTCCTTGTTAGCTAATGGTTGCTTAGTTTTTTAGTGTATTGTGATGCTAACTAGTCTCTTAGAAAATCTATTTACAGTGATGTATATTTTGCTTGTTTATAGGAATATGTGACTGAGAAATCTAATGACAGTGATGTGTATTCATGTTTCTTGTTAGTTAATGGTGCTGAGTTTTTTTTGGTGTATGCCCTAATTTTTTTTGTGAATTCAATTGACACTTAAGTTTATGTTGATTGATTCTACACGTTTTGGACCATGTTCCTTGTTAAGCTAGGGTTGCTGAGTTTCTTAGTGTATTGTGATGCTAACTAGTCTCTTAGAATTATGATGACAGTGATGTATATTTTGGTTGCTTATAATGGGTGACAGAGAAATCTAATGACTGTGATGTTTATTCATGTTCTTTGTTAGTTAATGGTGCTGAGTTTTGTTTTAGTGTATGCCTTAATGCTCTTGTGAATTTAGATGACACTTAGGTTTATGTTGATTGATTCTACACGTTGATGGTCTTAATCCATGTTTCTTGTTAAGCTAGGGTTGCTGAGTTTTTTTAGTGTATTGTGATGCTAACTAGTCTCTTAGAAAATTTATTTTGGTTGCTCATAGGAATATGTGACAGAGAAATCTAATGAGAGTGATGTATATTCATGTTTCTTGTTAGCTAATGGTGCTGAGTTTTTTTAGTGTATGCCTTAAGGCTCTTGTGAATTCAAATGACACTCAAGTTTATGTTGATTGATTAGATTCTACACGTTGATGGTGTTAATCCATGTTTCTTGTTAAGCTAGGGTTGCTGAGTTTTTTAGTGTATTGTGATGCTAACTAGTCTCTTAGAAAATCTATTTTGGTTTCTCATAGGAATATGTGACAGAGAAATCTAATGAGAGTGATGTATATTCATGTTTCTTGTTAGCTAATGGTGCTTAGTTTTTTATTTAGTGTATGCCTTAATGCTCTTGTGAATTCAATTGACACTTAGGTTTATGTTGTTTGCAGGAATATGTGATAGTTTTGCTTAAGAATGGGAGACGGAAAGAGGAAGCTAAGAATGAATTGAAGATCTTTCTTGCTGATGATAGCGATTCTTTTGTGGCCTGGTATGTAAAAGGCTTTTTTGCACTTTTTTGTGAGAAGAGAGTTTTATTTGTCTCTCTTGTGGAAATTTGAACTCACTTGGAGGTTTTTTTACAGGTTGTGGGATCATCTGGCTGAAAGTGTGGATGAATACTTTGTAAGTTCTCATGTTGAGAAAACTAACGTGAGAAGCTCATTGGTGAGTAGTCTGGATGAAGATAAAGAACTTGTGAAAATGGATTCTGATTCGGGAAAAGAACGAGCCCCACCTCGACGCGGTAGAGGATGGAGAACCCAACCAAGTAGTGTTTCTGACGTTCCTCCTCTTCTGAGTTCTGAGGTTCACAAAGTTCATAACTACGAGGAGGAAGATCACAGAGAAAGACATGGTAAAAGGTCTCCATCTGAGCAGTCTCGTTCCCATAGGAAGAGGAGTAAAACTGACAGCTCGCGGGATGAACAGGTCTGTGTTTTGTAATTTTCTGATTAGTAGCAATCACCACGTAATACCTGGAGTAGAATATTTGAAAAATATGCTGAATTAGTTCACTGGATGGGTGTCATATCGTATTGTGTAGATGTTATCAGAGTCAAATTTGGGCCAGTGTGTACCTTTACGTTGTGCTCTGTATAAGACTAACATGTGTGAGACGTCTTCAGTTACCCTTGACTTTGTGTGATTGGGTTGTCTTTTGTCAGTCTTCTAATGCATATCCTGATGTAAATCTAATGTATGGATTGTGGTTATGGTCCTCTGATGATCTTTTTCTTTGACTTCTATGATAGAGGGAGGCTAAACCTGTTGTTTCTAGCCGGCTGCTTCAGTTTGCTATGCGAGATGCTCTTGGTACATCAAAGCCCACTGAGCCCTCATTAAAACGTCTCCGCTCAGTGGTGTCCGCATCGGCTCAAGACTCATCTGAACCGGAACCAGCTCGGAAAACCCGATCTGTTGCCAGGGTTATGAATCCCACGGCCACTGTTATGAAAGCTGTCGCCGAAGCAGCTGAAGATGCCAAGAATCCAAAATCTGGGAGAAGCGTCTTTGACAGAATTAGCCACTCAACGGGTCTCCCTGAAACTTCGGACCAACAAATGATACTTGATGATGTCCCCCCTAAGAATGAAGAACATAGGAATCTTAGTGAATATCAGGAACCGGTACAGCATCAATACTCGCAGCGTCTTGGCAACAATGGAGTGTATGTTGAGAACGCGAGGACTTTTGACACTGGCTTGCAGTCAAATTTTTCGTCTGATCGAAGTAGACTCGTTTCAACTGTTAATGGGTCTCACCCAAGTTCTTTTATTGGGAATAGAATTAACAATCCAAAAAGTCTGCAGCATCGTTTAGTCGATGGCCCAAACGGGACGAAGACTGCAGGTTTCTCTGGCAATGCGGATACAGGGAAAACAGTAAAGTTGGAGGAGCAGATGAAAGTACCAGATGTGGGCCTTCAAAGATATATGGACGGAAATGTAAGTTTCATGTTATATATGCAATTTCGTCCTAGCTATTTCAGTATAAAATATCCTGGAGTTTTTCTTGTTAATGTTCTATTCTACCCCTCATGGCTATTTTGTGATGATTTATCTCGTTCTTGCGAGTAAAACTGGACTCCTCACTCTAGTTAGCTTCTTGTTCTTTGACAGACAAAACCTGCTGCCATTGCGAAAGAAGACTCATTGACTAAGAAATCTGTTCCTGGTGAGTTTTTTTTTTAAGATTCATGGTATTAGCATTACATTGTCCGTGACTTTGGTTCCGGTTAATTCAGTTCTTCTGCATGAATTGGTCTAAAGATGATATACTGGTATTTGCAGGGACATTATCTACTACCCGCCCTTTGGAAGATGCTAGATCTCGAACAATCTTTGTCGCCAATGTAATGATTGTTACGGTTTATTTACTCCTGAACTGGACTTTAGCAAAAAAACTTTTCGATTGGTGTATTGATTTGAGAGTGATTGGTCGTAAAACAGGTTCATTTTGGTGCCACCAAAGATAGCCTTTCAAGGCATTTCAACAAGTTTGGCGAAGTGCTTAAAGCTATCATAGTTACAGATCCATCGACAGGGCAACCAAGTGGGTAAGTTATCTTCATTAACGAATCACACGACCTTATAGCAAATTGTCTTGATATGTGCTTATCCTAAGTTCAGTTACCAGAGACACCTTAGTGACCAAAGTGTTTCACCTTTTGCAGATCAGCATCTATCGAGTTCACGCGCAAAGAAGCTGCAGATAATGCATTATCTCTGGACGGTACCTCTTTCATGTCTCGGATTCTCAAGGTGAAAACATTGAAAAACTCATATTTAACTCTGTTTAGAATCTCTTTTGGAATGGTTAGAGTCTTAGTTGGACTTCTGATGTATGTAACAGATTTCGAAAGGAAGCAGTGAACAGCAACAGGAGGCTGCGTCGAGCATGTCATGGTCTCGAGGAGGAAGGTACGCAAGAGCCTCACCTTACAGAAGAGGTGTCCCTGGTGGTGCATTCAGGGGTCGTTCTATTGTTAGAGGTGGAGCAAGGAGTATGCAATGGAAACGTGATTCAGCTGAGACTGGCACCAACAACAACGTTGCAGCTCCAAGTACTCGTAGTATGACTTACGTCCGAACAGAATCTCAATCAAACGGAAATTCAGCAGCCTGATGGGATTAAAGAGAAGCAATAAGAGCTTAGGTAAAAAAAAAGATGAGATTTATCATCTGCCTTATCGGATTTTTTTTCATTTTGTTTGCTTCTTTGTAATCATTCTCCAAACTTGCTTAATTCATGACGATTATGGTTCTTTTTTTTTGTATGGATATTAAAAATAAAAAATAAAAATGTATTTCAAGTAGCTCTGTTCCATTTTCATGTGGATAACAAGAGGAACAAATTTCTCCATGGCTTACTTTATGCTAGTATCCCTATGTTACATGGAATAAGAAACATAATGGTATGGTACAGAAGCAAAGATTTCTAACAATATTAATAAATACTTAAAAATAACCACTATAATCGGTCCCAACAGGTGCTATTAATCCTTAAAAAAGACACGACCAAGTGTCCTCAAAGTGTGGAGAAACACACTCTCTTCCTCATGTCTGAACAAGACACCAAATCAAACATGTAGATCTCTCTACTCTATAAAAACCTCACACCATATATCCACAACAATCAGCCTCATCAATCAAATCCACACAATGTCTTCTTCTTCTGCACTCACACTCTTTTTCTTCTGTACTTCCACATTCCTCTATGCCAACGCATTCAACATCACAAACATCTTAAACCTAAACAATGAGTTCTCCACTTTCAACAAACTCCTCTCCCAAACCCAACTCGCTTCCACCATCAACTCCCGTAAACCCATAACCGTCCTCGCACTTTCCAACGAGGTAATGTCTTCCTTCTCCGACCAATCACCCGCCAACATCAAGAACACACTCAGCCTCCACATCGTGTTAGACTACATCGACGTCACGAAACTCAAGAGCCTCAAAAACTCAGTGATACTCACCACTCTCTTCCAATCAAGCGGCCAAGCTAAAGGCCAACAAGGGTTCATAAAGGCAAACGTTATGAAAAACGGTGACGTTTTGTTTGGCTCTGCGGTTCATGGAGCTATCCTTGACGCTAAGCTTATAGACTCGGTTACGTCACAACCAAATGAGATCTCTGTGCTACATATAAGTAGTTATATACCTATAATGAACGCACCTTCTGATACTCCTTATGGTTCGTCTACACCACTTCCTTCACAACCTCCTGGTGATGATGATTATGAATATGACGAGCCACCTTCCCCACCTTCCTCTACTACTAAGCCTGTTGTTGCTGCTGCTACTGCTGCTACGGCTAAACCACCTTCTTCTGCAAAAGACAACTCAACAACAAGTGGAGTTTCAGCTATTAGTACTCCTAACCTCGCGTTTGCGTTTGTGATCTCATCTGTTTGGTTCTTTATGACGGTTTGGTGGTGATGAATGATGAATAACAGAGTGCAAGAATGAAATAAATCACATCAGATTGCTGAAAGCCAGAAAAAAAGTGGAGATTGGTAGCAAAGCTTTTAAGCTTTTTTCACCCAAAATACAAAAGAGCACTTTCAAGCTTTCATAAGTTAATTATATGGAATAAGGCCACAAAATCCAAAGAAGAAATGATTGATGATGATACAATAAAGATGGAGAGAGTTGTAAAACTCAAAAATTATTTATTTGGAAGCTTGTATTTGATATTTTTACAAGCTGTGATGAATGATTTTAATTGGAAGCAACAAAGAAAATTAAAACCTGTATGGTTTTTTTGTGCATTGTTGTTTGGTTGCATTACTTCCAAACCGTGTTCTAAAAAGATCGGTCAAAGTGGCAACAAACTAGACGGCCTCAACATTCCAAAAATCAGTTTAGGCTCCTAACTAAACACTAATTCCCTATAAAATGCTTAATCTTAACGATTTCTTGAACATTTCTTGCAAATGAAGACATAAAGAAAGGCAACACTAGATTCGAGATGTTCATTACTTTTTAGCTATGAAAAGGCAAAACCATCCTCACGAACATGAAACACATTTCACATCCATGGCTATCCCCAACATCCAACAACAAAGTCTTTAAGACAAGGAAACAAGCTCAGACTCTATACATTCAGAGTGGCTTTAATTAAAGGAAACAAAAAAAGAGTTTTCAAAATGCATTAATCTGCTCACGTCTTGAGTCAGTGATGTAACCCGTTTCCATTGCTATACACATTGCCGTTCTGGTAAACTTTTCCCATTGCTGTTCCATTGGCCACTCCATTTATGGAAACGTTATTCATCTTGCCACTTGCTTGCAGAACTGCATCTAGACACCCAGAAGCTGCTGCTATAAGACCTGTGGTTGTAACAAAAACGTTTCTTATAAACAACCCATAACAACATCAAAACACAGGTTCATGTCGTGATGCTACATAACCATTGGTTCTTACCTAGAAACAATGCTGAAGGTTTTCCAGGTCTAGACTTGAACTCAGGATGGAACTGAGCACCCACGAAGTATGGATGATTTTGTAGTTCCACAATCTGTACACCACACACACAGAACAATGAATCACAACATCACAAAAGCATTCATATACTATTCTTCTAAGCTCAGTGAAGTTACACACTAAACATGGTTTGTACGAGCATATTTACCTCCATACGACGCCCAGTCCCATCCTTCCCAACGAATGAGAGCCCAGCATTCTCAATTTCTGATATCATATCTGGATTTACCTAAGAAAACACATTCCATTTTCACCAACTCAGAAGAGACCTCAAGGCAAAAATATGTTGAATAGAAGCTGCATTTGCAGTAAAAAAAAAATATATTACCTCATATCTGTGCCGGTGTCTCTCATCAACAAACTTTGCATTACCGTACCTAAAAAAATAGAAATAAGAAGTTATAGACTTTCTGTATTTGGAAATGAGTCCTAAGAGTTATGTTATGTACTTACAACTTAGCAGACTTGCAATCAGGAACCTGAAAGTGAGTCCTCCTTGAACCTAAGCGCATTGTGCCTCCCATATGAGTTGTGGAACCCTTAAAAAAAAAGATTGAACAAGGTTAAGAAGACACTCAGAGAAATTTAAAGCATGTAATTAGTCAAATGAGAAGATGTAGACTAGTACTTCTGGCATAAATATCACGCAGGGGCTTGAAGTTTTTGGTTCAAACTCTGTGCTGTTAGCATCCTTATAGCCAAGAATGGAGCGGGCAAATTCCACAACAGCCAGCTGCATTCCCAGGCATATGCCAAGGAAAGGGACTTGGTTTTCACGGGCGTACTTTGTAGCTAGTATCTTTCCTTGCACTCCTCTGTCACCAAAACCTCCTGGTACTAAAATACCATCAGCACCCTGAAACAAGCAAAAAGGCTGAGTCCAACATAGTTACTGAATTTGGGATACCTGGTTCCATTAGATATAACCTACCTTCAAAAGATCCCATGCAGCTTTATGGACATCTGGCGCCTGCAATGGTAAGTCATGCAAAGGCTTATGAGATTAAATACAAGTGTAGTACACTACGAGAAACGAAGACAAGACTCACTTCATGTGCTGTAATCTCTTCAAGGTCACTGGCTGCAACCCACTCTACTACAAGCTTCTTGTGACATGCCACAGAAGCATGCAATAGGGCCTGCAGAAAATTCATAAGGAAATGACGCATACACTAAATGTTGGGCTCAAAATACATAATTATATTTGGTTTATTAAAGTACAGAAAATACAAGTTACCTTCAACACGGAGAGGTAAGAATCAGTAAGGCCAGTGTATTTTCCAACCATAGCAATTCTGACCTGTAAGAAAAGACCATAGAGAATGAATAATCGATTCCATTATATAGCCACTCTTGGCATTAGAAACATATGTTTAAAAAGTTTACTTACAGGATCTTGCAGCGAATCATAAATTTTAGTTCTTTCAGTCCATTCGGTCACGTCAGCCTCTACAGCTTTGCTGCAGATTGCAGAAGAATCAAAACTCTATTAGTAGAGAAAACGTCATCAAAGAATAGCTGAAGTGTGGAGCCTAGAGAAAATATATAATTTACACATAGAGGCAAGGAAAAATGAAAGACGGGTTCAGAGACAAACCCAAGGAGGTTCAACTCTTTTAAGATTGCTCCATGAGCCTTTTGATCCTATTTAAGAGAACCAAAACAAAATATTCGCATAGCAAGTTAACATTAAGGTCCTTTGGTTTCATAGGTAGGGTTTAGAAACTATTCAAGCGAAATTTACTTACCCTTAAAAGCAGTGGAACATGCCAGATGTTTGGAACGTCATAGAGTGTCACGATATTCTCTTCCTAGGAAACCAAAGAAAAGCGACAAGAATGTTCACTTGTTAAGGCGAGATCTGACCTCTTTGCTCTACGAAATGAAATAAACATCAACAACAAATACCGGCACATGGCAAAACTGAGAGAGTTTCGTCTTGACATTGTCTTCAAGTGCCTGTAACAAAACAAGAACTGATAAGATGAAAAAAAAGACAAATCCATGCCTAATCGTTAACACTACAGAACATGAAAAAGAATACTGGAGTGCACATTACCTTGGTGCTGCGACATGCTAGGATATTAGGTGTCAACCCAAGGCTCCTGAGTTCTCGCACACTATGCTGTGTTGGCTTCGTTTTCTGCAATACAAATGTTGATACCTCAACTGTTACAAACTAATAAAATGGAATCTCCATGAAAGATATCAAAACCATAGAAGGTTACCTGTTCACCAACAACACTTAGAACAGGCACAAGGCTCACATGAACCAAGCAGAAATTACCAGGTCCTGTAAGAACAACAAACATAACGGTGATGGAGCCGATAACCATTAGCCTCAAAACAACTACTGCACCTTAGAGAGCAAAGCTTACCAACTTTATAGGAGAATTGACCAAGGGCCTCAATGAAGGGCATAGATTCAATATCACCTGCACATAACATAAGTAAATAAAAGCCACTCATCATCTAAGAAACTGTCCTGAATGATAATATCAGCCAACAAAACAGTACCTATAGTCCCTCCTAGTTCAATGACACAGACATCAGGAGGACCTTCCTTTCCATCCACAGGAACATTAGCAACACGCTCAATCCACTCTTGGATTGCATCAGTAATATGCGGAACCACCTTGAAAAAAGTTACAAAGCTTTGTTCAGACATTAACTCACAAATTAGAACCAGAGAAAGTTAAAAAAACACAAGTAGAGAATGTATAAACCTGTACAGTTCTTCCAAGGTAGTCCCCTTTCCTCTCCTTGTCAATCACCGACTGCAAAATTCAAAGGCAAAAACATTGTAAACCAGGTTCTAAGTAACACGAGAGAACTATTAGAGGTAGTAGTAGAGATACCTGGTATATCTTTCCGGTTGTTAAATTATTGTCACGGGTCAATGTACTGTCCAAAAAACGCTCATAGTTTCCAAGGTCCAAGTCCACCTAAAATGTTTAACCACTTAGAATACACAATGAATCGGTACAAGGATGCAAAAGGAGGACATAATCACCTCTCCACCATCATCCAAGACAAACACTTCTCCATGCTCAAACGGAGACATTGTTCCAGCATCTGTATTAAGATAAGGATCTACACCAAGAATGAAAAATAATCATGTTAGCTTTAAACCGCAAAACTAGTCTAAAAAATGTTAATCCTTTCTACAAATTAACTCTATTGGTCATTACACATAAAAAACAGACCCTTTTCTTGTTCGTTACATTTACATGTATAAAAACTAATCTCACCAATCTTAATGGAAGTAACACGGAGACCACAGGCTTGAAGGAGAAGACCAATGCTACTTGCAGTAACTCCTTTCCCAAGTCCACTCACCACTCCTCCTGTCACCAAAACATACTTCATTTTTTTCACCTGAATCATCAAAAAAACAGAGAACAAGATAAGCATAAGAACCCTTCTCAAAGACAAGCAATCTCTTCTGGTAATAACTCTCAAACACTTAGACTACCTTCGTGTAGAAGCAATAGGCTTTCCTGGATTTTTTTTTGCAAGGCGGCGGCTAATAAGCTTACTATATAACCTGCGAGACCCCTCCCTCCCTATTTAAGGCCAACCCAAAAATAAATAAAAAGTTCGCATCTTTTTTATTTTTAATTTTAATATATAAAGAATTACTGTGGCTTTGACCCTTTCAGTAAAGTAGATTTCAATCAAAACCTACTTGGTAAAAAAAAAATATATATATATATATATACCTGTTACGCTTTTGTATGTTTCATAGAATTAGGGTTTGCAGTGGAGACACTGCTTTTGACTGTTAAATTTGTGGAAAGTTGGCTTCATTTTTTTTTGGTAAGATAAGCACAAAAGAGAGGGTTTTGGATGGATGTATGGGGAACTGTGTGCCCAATTTAAAAACCAATCAAAAAAGCTTTTTTTTAATAAGGAGAGGAGAAAGGTATCAAACTTTTAGAGTCTTTTGCTACTTTGATTGTTTTGTCCTTTTGTCATTAATAGAGGAGTGGCATTCACATGTTTCATCAAATCAGAGACAAGAGTCAACATGTCCATGTAATCTTTTCTTCCTTTGTCTCTGTTTCATGTCCTCTTCTTCTTATTCCAGCCTATAAGAACCAAAAACTACCAAACAAGACATTGGAGAGATTTGATTTTTACCAGTTAGCACCAGCTTCCTTTTTGATGAAGAATCATGTTTTCAATAACTAGCTTCTCGCTCACACAGTCACACTTACATCTGTATAAATGTGTTCAATGTTATTGTGGAGTTTGGCTGGAGTTTTCAAGAACTAGCTCATCTTTGATGATTTCTTTCAAAGCTTTAACAACATCTATCAAGTATTTGAATCACTGTGAAGAGAATAATGGTGATGGTTAATATAATATGAGTATTGAGCTTGCTTGTTGACTCTATAAACACATAAGCTCTGCTCCATGAGCTATAAAAATGATGGCATTTTTTACTAAACGAAGAAGACTCTAACTCAACCTTTTCGTTTAGGTTTTAGGATATGATAAAAGGACTTAGAGGAATGTGAAACACTTGGAAACGAAACTGATGCAGAAACATAGCAAGCAAAAATAAGATTACAACACACTTAACATCTTGATCTTACACAAAGCTTTCCTTCACCAGCATCGGCTTCTAAAGTTGTCTTAATGTGTAATAAGGGCAATTAAGCCCACTCTGCAACAGCTTTTTGGTCTACTAGATTAGCTCACAATTCAGTACAAGTAAAGCAATGTGGGTTCTAATCAAAATTCTCTAGGTACCTCTCTCATGGGACTCATCTTTACATTCTGCTGTTGAGAAGCTTATTTGGTCACTGCATTTAAACTATCTGCTGTCTAATGGAACCTGCAACTCTCTATCCACAAAACTGTTTTGGCATTTCCACTGATTCGCTATGTTTTGCAATTACACAATCTTAAACTCTCCTTTCTTTCTTAACAACCCACATATAAAGTTGGTATCTTCTTTACATAAAGGAATAAACACCAACGCTAACTAAGAAACCAAATAAAGCTCCTGCTATGACTTCAACTTCAGTATGTCCTATTGATTCTTTCAATGGAAGTTTCACTTCCTCACTGATCTCATCTGACTCCAAACTCTCACCTTCCTTTCCCTTTAAACTTATCTCTTCACCTCTCCGAGCATTAGTAGTTAATTTGTTCAACACTCTCGCATGCTTTCCAACTTCTCTCCTCACACCCTGCAACGGTAGAGACCAATTCAGGACATATAAATGAAAGTCTTATGTTCTATCATACATAAATGAAAAATAACAGTTTCCACCACACAAGATCCTACTTGTTGTAATGCAAAACGTTAAACTAGAGAAAGCAAGATTTGAACTTTATCAAAAGGGTCAAGTTACCTGAGCATCATACATGATCAGAGCAGCATAAACCACAGTAAGACCAAAAATTGAGTCATCAAATCCCCTGGAGAACCAAAACCAAACCAAACTCAGAAGCTTACAGAAAGTTAAAAACATTATAGAGAAAGGTTTCACCTTTCAAAACCAATTGCAGTAGCTGCAGCCACAACAGACTAATGAATCAGCAAAAAAAAAAAATCAGAGAAGCAGACAAAACACAATCTAATCAGAGAAAGAAAGAGAGAGAGAAGTTTGCTTACAGAAGAATGTGTTGAAGGGAAGCCTCCAGCTTGTAAAGCGGTTCTAAAGTCAAGTTTTTTCTTGTAAAAAACCACAGAAGTGAAGGGCTTTAAGAGCTGCCCAATTGCCCCAGAGAACCCAGCAGCTATGAGTACCTTCACGCAAAGCATAAAGAGACTATCAGTGCCTGCAAAGATAAGGAAGAGAGAGAGAGAGAGAGTATAAAGGAGAAACCTTGTTGTGGATGACTTCGGTGACATCTTGGAGTCCAACATTGAGAGCGCAGGACGTGAGACGATTTGGCTTCTTTGGTGGGATTAAAAGATTGAATTTTGGGTTGGATATAGAGAAACAGAGAGCATTGGCGTTGTGAGACACAAAGCTCTGTTTCAGCATCTCTGTAGTAAAGGAAGAAACTTTGAAGTGTGTGGATGATGATTGATGATAAGATATGAGGGCAGCGAGAAATTTGGAACTAATGGCTCAGTTGTGTCGACAAGAGTGTTGTCTTTCGACTCAAAGAAGAATCATTCGGACAGCTTTCTGTGGATTTCAGTTACAAATGTTTCACTTATTTATGGTAAAACTCTTTAACTTTCATATGTTCTCTCAGTTTATATCAAATTTCTTAAAATTGGTTTATCCGGCAAATGAATCATAAAGAAAAAGACTTTTTTTTTTTAAATCAGATTTAAAAGAAAGGCTTAAATCGGTTTACACCATTATAAATTAGTAAAAACAATTTAAAATCACTTAAAACAATCAAATTGGTTTAAATCTCTTAAATCATACAATAAACGTTAGTTCAAATCCACAATATTTTTTTTTAATAATTCATCATAATAATTTTATAATTAAATTTAAAAACTAAAATATCAATATAATTATAAAATATATAAAAAATAAATTAATAATTTGTTAACATTATGCACTACATAGACTCCAAATAGTCATTTTACTAAGAGCATGATTAATCCCGTCTTTTATTTGAAGATTTTAATTCATAATTTGATTTTTTTTTTTTTACATTTTTTGGTTAAGAGACATTTTTACATCTTTTATTTAAAATATAACTTTTAGTCTTTCTTGGTTACTTTTAACTAAGAAAGACTAAAAACCATATTTTAACCGAAATTAAAACATTCAATTAAGAGACGAGAGATTAGTCATGGCCTAAGAAAGACTAAAAACCATATTTTAACCGAAATTAAAACATTCAATTAAGAGACAGGAGATTAGTCATGGCCTAAGTATCTCCTTACAGCCTAGCTATTTTTAACATTTGTTTATATCAATCTCTAGATACAGATTCAGTCGTTTTCTTTGGGGGGAAATAAAGTCGTTTGTTTCTCTTTACATACCACAATCTGTATTTAGTCAAAAGAACAAGAATATGAACAAACAAAACATATAGAATCTCTCAGCTTAAGAATGTTACTGTGTCTAAAAGTACTCAAAGTCTACATAAGCAGTATCATCAGTAGGAGTCGCAGGACCAGCTGCACAAGCCACCGGAGCATCAGGCTTCATTGAGTTATTATAATGATCACTACCTCCATGTCCCTTACCCTTCCCTCTAGCAGCAGTCAACGGTCCCAAGTCAACAGGGTCAGGAATATGAGGCGGTGCAGCGCTACGCACCAGAGCCCAATTCACACCTTCAAAGAAAGGGTGTTGTTTTATCTCCGTAGCGCCACGTGTATAAGCGATTCTCCTATGAGGATCCTTCACTAGAAGCCCCCGTATGAGGTCACGTGCTGCTGAGCTCACGTGAGGGAGGTCTGGGAACTTCAAGGGCCGACCAACAACGTTGTGGAGTGTGTCTCTATTCCCTGGTCCTTTGAAAGGTGTTGTTCCGTGTAAGAGCTCGTAGAGGAAGATACCAAACGTCCACCAGTCTACAGCACTTCCATGTCCTTCTCCACGTATGATCTCTGGAGCTAAGTACTCGTGTGTGCCTACAAAGGACATTGACCTTACGTCCGTTGGCTCTGCCATGAGCTCTGGCATGGAGAGGCCGTTAAGGCCCGAGTCTGATTTGGCTTTTCGGGTTTTTTTGGAAGGGAGGAGACGTGGGAGGAAGGCTGAGGGGTGCATGCAGCCGTTGACGGCGAACTCCTCGTTGAGTATAGCAGCTCCACCGCTACAGACGGAGGAGGATTTGACTAGGGTGGGGTTGAAAGTGCAACGGAGGGAAAGATCAAAGTCTGAAAGCATAATGTGGCCTTCGTCACGGACTAGAATGTTCTCTGGCTTCAAGTCTCTGTATACAACCCCCAACATGTGTAGATATTCTAATGCAAGTAAGACTTCGGATGCGTAGAACCTGTAAAGGAACTCATGAGAGAAAAGATAATAAGTAAGCTCCACTAGTGCTAGTGCTGGACATTCATGTTTATGGTTCAGATAGGGTTATCTAGGTTGGGATGTTTAGGATCCTTTTAAGAACCAAACATTTTTCGGATCGAATCAATTTGTGTAATGTCAGGTTTGGTCGGATTCCTATCCTTTTTAATAAAATCTAGAACGGTTTGGATATGAAAAAACCAAGAAAATTCTAGTTAACCCAACAAACCATTTAAAATAGGGTAATTCGAGCGTTTTGAATAATTTTCGATTTATAAACTATATTTGTATATAGTTAGTTAAAATTTGTAAAATTAAGTAACTAAATTATATTTTGGAGATTTGGATATCTATTTGATTTTTGGTTTGATTTCTCTTTAGTTTTGTTTTTTGGGTATTAAGAAATATGAACTATTCGGGTTTGTAAGTCTTAGTCCACTTTTTTTTGGATTTTGGTTTGGTATTCGGTTTGGATAATATGTTCAGGACTAGTTCTGATTCTAAATTGACTCCGAAATTTAAAACCGACAAACAAACAAAACACGAGCTAAACCCAAAAACCTAGAAATATATTAGGGTAATTCAAGTTTTTTTGATGATTTCCGATTTTTAAATTATATATATATATTTTAAAATTCTAAAAATACTTGTAGATAAATAAATTACATTTGGATACTCAGATATTGGTTCGGTTCGTTTTGGTCGTTTGGGTTTTGTTTTTCTGGTTCGACTTTGGTTCGGTTTTCAGGCTTTGGGATAATTAATATGCCCATGACTAGCTCCAACCCTAAATAGACCAAACTTTTGTCTTACCTCGCGGCTTCTTCAGTGAAACGCCTGTTAGGCTGTTTCTGCCTAAGAGAATGTAGATTTCCTCCGCTGCAGAACTCCATGACCAAACAGTAAAGCTTCTCTGTCTCAAAATAAGAATAAAGCGTTGGCAAGAAAGGATGGTCAAGCAAAGATAGGATCTCTCTTTCCGTCTGAGCCCTCGGCAACTTGTTTCTACTAGCCAACGAGGCCTTATCCATCACCTTTATCGCAAAAACCGCACTTGTCCCTTGCAAGTCAGCGAGATAAACGCTGCCTATGTCCCCATACCCTAGACGTTTCAGAAGCCTGAAGCTGTCTAAACCTATTTGAGGACCTCTTGAAGTAACCGAGTTAATAGCGTCCCATCTCACGTCACCTCCCGTGTGAGGCTTGAAAGGTGCAGGTGAAGGGCTATCACCGTAGGCAGATTCAGCATTGTGTCTGGGAGCTCTCTTGCTGTCTGGAGATTTTGTTCTACGTTGAGGATGAGCTCTGGAGCTTGGTGAGGGTGTTTCAGGTGTGGTTAATGGAACAATCTTTTTGGGATCATAGTGAAGATTCTTCTTCATTCCTAAGGTATCATTATCGGTATGCTTTGAATCGCCCTCGTTGGTTCCTCCTTTGGATACGGTGGGAGGTTCAGGAGACTTTGTGGGTTGATGTCTGACGAGAGGATCCATCTTTTTGAGATCAAAATGAGGGTTTCTAGGGACATTGTCTCCTAGTTTGAGGGAAAATGTAGCGTGAGGTGACTTGGGTTTCAAGGTAGGGTCTATCTCCTTGGTGGTGTCATTAGTTGTGTTCTTCTTGGAAGCTAAGTCCATCTTTGGAATATCTTTTGGTTATAAAGATAGCTCTTACCTGCGGGCATCAATGACACTAAATTTAAAATTTTTGTTGAAAGAGACACAAAACATTAGGAACACTTTTTTTTACCTGAGATGATCACACGTTTCCTTGCTGATTTAAAAGACAAGATGAGGGAAAATCAAATCATGTCAAACTCTGAAAAAAAAAAAAGATAATAAAGCGTTAGTTATAATAACACAAACAATGTTTCAAGAAAATCAAGAACACGGACCATGTTTAAATGCATGTAACAATAAGTGTAGTTCCTAGAATACAAATCACAAACTCTAAAAGAAAACAATTAGTAATGATCCCTTAATAGTATCTCAGCCTGGAAAAGCAGAGAGAGAGGAAAAGACATGAGGAGATGCAAAAGAGATGGAGACAGTGAAATATTCTTAGCCTCTCATCTCTCTACGCTTCATTTTTGCCGTTTATTCCTCTGTTTCTTGTCTAAATTAACCGTTTCCTATTACCTAATTTGGTTCATTGACAGAGACATGTTGTTAAAGAGATATAACTAAAAAATATCTAATAGTAAACTCACATGGTCATCAGACATTCTCCTCATCTTCTTTCTGCGTCATCTATATGTATGTTCTTCTTGGTCTCTCTCTTCTCTCTGACCATAACGTAGAAAATATAATACAATTTGAAGCCATGAGTTCAGCTTAAGAAGTTAGGAACCATTTGCTCCTTCTCCGTGGTTAGCTAACCAACCTGAGAAAATTTAGAACATATATCGTTTTGGCTTTGTCCTTTTTACAAGACGAACCTGAGTTTATCAAACACATCATAGCCTTATGAGTTTATTTAGTAAAGCCCATTTATCTTTAATCATCATAAGCCGGTTACGATTCTTAAACCGAATCTATTATCCTTAGCAAATTTTGAGCTACACGGACATCCCAATATATACATTGTTTTGTACAGGTTTATACGGACAACGGTACTTGTTCTTACTGATATTTTCTTATTTTTAAATAAAAATCTAGTTCGTTACAAAATTAAAAAAAAAATCAATTTTTAATTTAAAAAAAAAACTTTATGATCTTTGACATAAAATTTTTTTTTATGATATTTGTGTGTAAACATAGGCGTTTGTAATTGAATAATCTCATATAGAAAAACAAAGTATTTATATCGTATAAGTATTTCAATAAAAATAACGAACATTCTCCAAAGGTTCGAAAAAGCTGTTTTATGACCGTTTCGTCAAATTACTAGATGATGAGTAGAGAGACTGCAAGAGAAAGAAGAGTTGTATTTGTGAACTGAAGTCAGATAAATAAATAAATAAGTAAGATAAATACGAAAAACAATTATAAGATATATATATATATATATATCCGTAAATTAAGCAAATGGCGGGGGTATAGATGATGTGATGATAGCATTGCAATTTACACACCATCTCCTCTTTTCCTTGTACCATACGTTTATACTATACCGTACGTACACTCTTAATTAATAAAGGTATGAGTATAAAATACGGTCATTCTTCTTCTAGAGTGTGTACATAGTCCACGCATCTAAAGTTTATAAACAAAGCAAAACGCGGCATTTTAACAACGACTGTAATATTATTTACTCTAGCAAACTTTATTATAAATCTAAGTGTTATTTTCATGTCATACGAAACCTGCGCTGTCTTTTCTTTCTTAAAGATTAATACTAGAATTTAACTGGCTTTGCAAAAGCTTTTTAAGTAGCAAATTTACTATATGTCAGTGATTTATATATTAGATCAAAACAACTTTTCTTGTTTTTATTTGTTGACGTGGTAACAAATATCCTTCTTTTTTTTGAGAAAGACGTGGTAACAAATATCCCATCTAACTTAATAACTAACTGATTGGTTCCATAACAATTTGGGACGTGGATTGCAGCAGCTGGTCCGAACGTATGTGAGTAAAACATGTTATGATGGATTGTATGTGAGACCGTAATCCATGTCATATTCTTTTAGCCAAAAGGCAATAAACTTGACTAACCCATGTTTGCAATTGTCCAGATCACTCCAAACAATCCTTTTTCTTATAAATTAGTTTAGGATAGACTCTCCCGTGATGTACGGACCAAATCAATACTAGATTTAAAACACACAAAAGCATGAATGAATAAAAAGATCATGTCACGACTGAAATATTATTTAGTCTCTGTCTAGCAAACTTTATGATTAATCTAGTTGTTACTTTCATGTCATGCGAACGGTAGAACCTTAGCTGTCTTTTCTTTCGTATATTAATGGGATTAAACTGGTTTTGGAGAAGTTTCTTAACGAGCAAATTTACTGAATTTCAGCAATTATTATATAAAATAAAATCAAACTTTGTTGTTGTATATATGTTGAATCAACATTGGATTTAAAACAAACAAAAGCATGAATGAATAATGAACGATCATACTAGCTATATCAGATTTTAGTTCAATAAATATCGCTTCTTAACGGTTTGGTCCTTTCCACCATCACTCTGTGTCGCTTGGCATACGTCGTTGGGACTTGGGAGGATCAAACAATGAGGAGTTCAATATTATTCCCAAAGTTTTTTCCCGATTAGAAAAATCCATTGAGGCGTTTGGTAATAAAGAACGATTGTTTAGACTTTTTAGTTTAGGTGTCTAACTAACCCCATGATCACATTCATACCATCGACAATATTAACCCTTCACGTGGTGCTAGAAAATTCGAATACGTTTCCATCTTTCTATCAAAACAATATACAAGCTACTTAGATTCTTCATTAATACATGTTTTTTTTTAACCTTCATTCATGTATGTCTTTTTGACGAATGTTCTGTAGGAATAAATGTTTCTTTTGTTTATTATCTCACTGGTAAACATGGAGTCAACTTCTCCTGTACTCCTATTTTTTTAGAGGTAATCTCTTATGGGCTCGTATGATCTCTTATACCCCTATTTCATAATTCCTTTTTTGATCAAAACCTAAATCCCCATATTAAATCCTCCCCGGTGTTCAAAACTAAACAAAAAACCCCCCAATGGATGGGTGAACCCATGGGCAAAGATTTAAATTCTATAGCATTCAAATTCGAAAAAAAATATTTTAAAATCGTTTTTAATCACATTTTGATGATTTTCGTGAAAATATGAAAAACGTTTTTTTGATTTTTGAAATAATTTTATCAAATTCTATAAATCAAATAAAAAATATTCACGTTTCAAGTTTAATTTTATGTTTTTTCGTTTGACATATAAAATTAAAAGAAGAAAAGTGTCTAAGAGAGATTAGAATTTGAGATTTAGGGGTATGAGAGGAATTGCCTCGTAAAGATGTCAGCTAGTTCCACAAAAAAAAAAAAAGAGGATTGAACCTAGTTATCAGAGATCCATTATCGTTTACATACTCCTCGCCTATTCTTTTTCACGTTTACCATACCAGAAACCTCCCAAAATGGTAACTCATGACTACCGAACAAAACAATTATCGTCACGTGGCTACTTGCTTGTGTTATTAGGGTAAATCAATTTTCTTTTCTTTACTTGCGGCAGAGATTCAACACCGGCCTGTTGCCTTTACCTTATAATCGTAATCTTCTCAATGCATCTGGCAGCTTCGTAAATAAAGTAATAATACTAAAAAAAATTTTACTCGACTTCAGTTTGACATATTGTTAACAGCTATAATCTATACGTCCCTTTAGTAAGGCTTTAACTGGTGACCAAAGGAATGTGTGGGAATAGTTAATTCCTCTTTATTCCTTAAATCTGACACCATTTATAAGGAAATTATAATAGTTAATTCTTCTTCATTCCTTAAATTTGACACCATTTATAAGGAATAATTTTTCTTCAATATTCTTTCTCATTCCTTTTAATTTAAGGAATCAAAGAACAAAATCATTCCTTATCAATTCCGGGGAGGAACAACATGGAACAAGTATTCCTATTATTTTGTTCCTCTTCATTCCTTTCCTCGTTGTTCCTATTATTCCTATGGTGGTCACCAGTCAAAGTTTAAATGTTGCATAATACAAAATACATAATTTATATTTATATATAGTACAGTTTTGTCGTGGATACATCATATACATTTTACAATAACTAGGTCTAAGAAGCAAACCGCGTTCATCATATACATTTTTTCTCTAATTGCTATATATGAAGCTATAAGCCTATATCATAGATTAAGATAATGCAAGTAGCAGCGTGAGGCCGTGCATGAAGTCTTTAGGGTTGTTACAAAATTATTTTTTCTTGTCGTCATCTTAAGATTGTTATAATTGTATACAATTATTCGGTGCAAACTGGCAGTTTGAATTAATCTCCTTTCCTCCACTGTCATTGTCGTTCGTTACATATTTTCCGAGCAGTTAAGATTTTCTACTATCTATAACTTTATCACTTCTTTAATCTCAGTTAAGACATTCGGTGGTACCAATGACTAACACAAGAAACCAATTTCACCACTTTTTTATATACTAATAAGTTACCTGAGATTTTAGAATTTTTCTTTTTGATAATCGTGTGGGTGTTTGGACCAACGCCTAAATAACTCATTAGAACGTTAATACCAAGAAAATAGTCTACCTCTAATTTTGTAAGCGAGGTCTAAGATATAATTTATATCGCCTAACCAAGCAATAGCAACATAGTTATTGGTAAGAATCAAACTAATAATTGATTGATCTACGGATTATCCGAAAATTTCCTCTAATCACTAGGTCATCATTGCTTAGTTAAAAAATTTGGAAGTTCTATTAAAAAATCATACTTTTCTTTTTCTTGTTATGATATTCGTTGATGAACAAATGTCAAATACCATATAACTGAAAAAGTATATTGGACAATAATCTTTTTTTTTTTAACAAATATATTGGACAATAATTAAGCAGTATTGTGGCTTGGATTGGGGTTCAACGCAACACAGTGTACACGCAATCTGTCTCTCGATTTGGATAATCCAATATATGTTTCTCATGTTTGTAGCTCTCTCTCTCTATTTATATATAATATTTTTTCTATTTTTAATACAGTTTTTTTAGTTTGAAATCTGAACCGACGAATATAAAATCTATATGATTTCCAAAAGAATCCAAGAGTGCACCAGCTAACCAATGACAATATGACAACTGGATATCTTCCTCTTGCCCTTGTGATTTTGACTCTCTGTCCCTAGCTAGCATCTTCTCCTCACGTCTATCCTCCATTCAAATATTTGATATACCTACCCCCAATTGGCCAATCATATCCAACGATTTTTTGTTTTGTTTTGTTTTGTTTTGTTGTTAGTGTTACTCTTGATTACCTTTGAATTGTTGTTACCTTCAGTTTCTGAGAAACTGTTCCATCTGACGGAAAAACGCTAGTTTTAACAAGTAGTACTAAACCCTTTCTTTAAAGTTTTTATTCAAATATCTCAAAATGTAAATTGAGATGCATTCACCTTTAATGAAAAAGTAAAAACTGCTCCCGCATTAATGTAACTTCAACTTGAAACTGTAACATAAAACAGGATCTGTTAAACAATTGTGTTAAAATAAGTAGTAACCTTCTATTAATGTTCTTGATCGTTTTCTTTTCAAAATCTCGAGCTGTACTTTTTCGCATAAATGTAATGTCAACTCGAAATTTTACGTAACATAAAATATCGGAGTATTTGTGAAATAATCATGTCATAAAATGTGAACTGAAAAAAAAATCATGTCATAAAATAATTAAACAAGCGAAACATATAATTTCATATATACCACACAAATTCTGTCATTGTTGACCATTGGCCAAGATTTCCATGTTTTGAGCCCTTATTTTTTATTTGTAACGTTGAATTTGAGATAATAAATGGCAAAATAAAAATATCGATAGCGAAATTAGCCCCTATTTATTCTCTTCGAATTATCTAACAATGAAATTTAGAATAATCCCCATGAGTAAAGTTGATAACCGTTTTTAAATAATCGATTAGTCAAACTAGGCTACATTAATTAATTAATCGTTTTGAAAGGAAAACTAATAGGACTAAAATATCAAAAATTGAAAGAAAATGTTTTTTTCTTTCTAAAATAAATATTCCATCCGTTTCATTTTAGTTATTCCTAATTTTACATTTTGTGCACATATTATAAAATAATTAATTTTGCTGATTTCAAAATAAAAACACATTTACCTACACACCTAATAACCACATTTCAACTAATGAAAAGATAAAATAATATTTAAAATTAATAAATTTTGCATTGAAATTATAAAACGACACTTATTTTAAAACAAAAAATTTACTCCAAAACGATATCTATTTTAAAACGGAAAGAGTATTTGTGTTTCGATTGTCGGATTTTTGGTTCTTAATGAGTTTTGATTACTGGATAGTAATAACAATATATTATTCATATAAATAAACTCACAATGGAAAATATAATATTTTTCTAAATACAAGAAACCCAAATAATAAAATGTTGGCGTTTCATTAGAAGTTGTTAACAAGTTCTAATTAAAAAAACAAAAAAAAAGAGAGACAAAGGCCTCTCGTCTGTTTTCAACTCTTCATCAATGTAATATAAATACTCTGTTTCAGAAAACAGAGACCCACAAAGAGAGGAACAAAAATGAAGACAGCTCTCTTATGTCTCCTCACGACTCTCCTAATCTCCACCACAGTCTCCACGGTGATGCGTCTCGAGATGGCTCACAGAGACACTCTCTTCCCTAACACTCTACGTCGCATTGACACCATCATCGGCTCGGACCAGAAACGCCACAGCCTCATTTCTCATAAACGGACAAGTGGAGCAAAGCTGACTCTGAGATCAGGCTTCGACTACGGAGCAGCTCAGTATTTCGCCGAGATCAGAGTCGGAACTCCGGCGAAGAGGTTCAGAGTGGTGGTGGACACAGGGAGCGAGCTGACGTGGGTGAACTGTAGGTTCCGAGGGAAAGGCAAAAAAACAGAGAACCGTCGAGTGTTTAGAGCAGAGGAGTCTTCGAGTTTCAGCAAGATTGGATGTTTGACACAGACTTGTAAAGTTGATTTAATGAATCTTTTCTCCCTCTCTAGCTGCCCTACTCCTTCAACTCCATGCTCATATGATTACAGGTATACTTTAATATAAACATTATCTCTTCTTGATGGTGGTGGTGATTGCATTGTTTGATATATTCAATAGTGAATGTGATTAGGTAGAGTTTTAATTAGGAGTTGATTAAGGATCATATGAGATGAAGTGATGTTGATGGTGGAACTTAACTTGCTTTTTAAGGGATTGTGTGTGTTTGTGTTGGGAGAAGATATTTAGAGAAAAGTTGGGTGGTTATCAATGAGACAAGGAGGGTGAACTCTCTTTCTTGTGACCATTAGGTTTAAATGGGCTAAAACCAATTTAGTCAAGAAAAAAAAGATGGATATTATTGTCTATTTCTTTTTCAACTGTTCCCTTAGTTTTATACTTCCTCCGTTTCAATTTCTTTGTCATTCTAGGTTTTTACACACAGATTAAGAAAATATTTAATTTTACACATTTTCAATATAAAAACACAATTACCAATACATAATAGAATATCATATAAACCTAATAAATTATGTCTCGAAACTCTAAAACGACACTTATTTTGAAATGAATTTTTTCCTCTAGAATGACATCTAATTCGAAACGGAGGGAGTATTAATAGTCGTTTAAGGTTTTTATCATGAAAGTTTCTGTTTATTATCTCTATAAAATATATTGTTTTGTTTGATTTTATTTTTTATTTATTTATTTTTTGGTCAAATTTTTGTTTGATTTTATTAAATAACAAAATTTAAACTAAAAATTATAAAATTGTTTAATATGTGTATTAAACATGTGAAAAAACATTTATAGCAAAATTTTAAAACTAAAACGAGATTTAATGTGAAACATATGGAGTATTTAGAAAACTTAAGGGGGAGCCCTAGATTCAGATGCAAGTGTATGCAAGAAGAAGGGGGTGATATTAAATGTGTCTTGAGCTACAATTCATCACATTACATAAATGTCACTTATTGCGTGACTTGTGAGTTAGGTTCGCCGTTTGAGCAATACATAAATTCTACCCTCTCTTATATTATAACAAACTCCTTAAATAATCCATGTTTATGCGTTCTTACCAACACTAAAACTGATCGTGTGGAAACAGATACGTGGACGGGTCAGCAGCACAAGGCGTGTTCGGAAAGGAAACATTCACAGTTCGTCTCACCAACGGTCGTGTCGCTAGACTCCCTGGTGTACTCGTAGGTTGCACCAACTCCTTCACTGGAGATAGCTTCCGTGGAGCTGATGGTGTGCTTGGTCTAGCCTTAAGTGATTACTCATTCACTTCCAAAGCCAGTGATGTCTTTGGTGGCAAATTCTCTTACTGCCTCGTTGACCATCTCTCCAACAAAAACGTCTCTAACTATCTCATCTTCGGCTCTGCCTCCTCTGACACTAAACTCAACGCTACACGAACCACACCGCTTGATCTCAATGTTATCCCTCCCTTCTACGCCGTCAACGTCATTGGACTCTCCCTAGGAGAGACCATGCTAGACATCCCCTCACAAGTATGGGACGCAACGAAAGGTGGTGGGACTATATTAGACTCAGGAACAAGCCTCACGTTTTTAGCTGACTCTGCGTATAAAGCTGTGATCTCGGGGCTTGAGCGTTACCTTGTTGGGTTGAAGAGAATCAAACCAGAAGGTTTACCAATAGAGTATTGTTTTGATACCACGTCAGGGTTCAATGAGAGTAAGCTACCGCAGCTGATGTTTCATTTCAAGGGCGGTGCGCGTTTTGAGCCGCATCGTAGAAGTTACCTAGTAGATGCGGCGCCAGGAGTCAAGTGTTTAGGGTTTGTGTCAGCGGGAGAGCCGGGGACTAATGTCATTGGGAATATAATGCAGCAGAATTATTTGTGGGAGTTTGATCTTGTCGCCTCAACTTTGACTTTTGCTCCTTCTACCTGTCTTTAGCTGTTTTTTTTCTCTCTTTGTGGTTATTACGTTGATTTAATTGGCCATTATGTTTGTTAATTGTTAGTGAATATTTATAAACATGTTCGTTACAAACGTTGAAATATATGCCATATTAATCTAATACACACCTCTGTTAATCATCTTATAAATCGTTAAACTGGGCCGTAAAGGGACCAGATGAAATGGGTTTAGATATGATAAGATTGGGCCCATAACTCCATTAGCTCAGTCTTTAATAAGTTCACACACTCTCACAGTCTCACTTTTACGTGTTGAAGAAAGTAGGAATCTCATGCATCGCTGTTTCAGTCACATGTGCTCTCTTCTCAAAGTATATTTGACTTTTATCTTTTTCCCATTCACTTATGGAGGAACATAAATAAAACTTGTAAATCATACTTTGTTTTATTCAAAGAATAATACATCCTAAATAAACGTATCACATCTTCCACTGAAACTTTGAAAAATTCCAGTATTCCATGATGATAGTTAAACAGAGAATGACGGAGGAGCGTTGTTTGGTACTTGGGAAAAGAATAAAAAGAAGTTAAACTTGGTGTTGGGGAAAAACAGATTATGGGCAATGACCAGTCCCATCATGGCATCCACTAAAATGATCCAATAATAATTTTTGGTGACAGAGAAGCATCACATGCTACATCATAATTTTTTTTTGGTTTCTACAAAAATCAATCATTAATTTTTTTACTACTGTTCTTTGAAGACAATTTTTTAAAAATATTAAGATAGATATCATGAACAAGAGGATATTCATTTTTTCCATGACCTCTCTATTGTCATATAAGATATGGTGAATCCGATGAAAATCAATTACTATTACAAATGGTCACACCACACATACATGAAAAAACCTTATACATGTGATTTAAAACACCTCACACAAAAGTAAATTAGAAAACAAACTAAACCAACTGGTTTATCTTAAATTACCAAATTTAGAAAACACTCAAATCCTTTTTCTCCTACACCTATATTTGTTGCACACAAATCACCCGAAAGTTAAAAAAAATCACTTTCAATTAAGTAAAGAAATAGGAAATAAAAACAAAACTAATTAGAGATTAGTAGTGAGGAGAGTGCAAGGAGTGTGACGGTAACAAGTGATCAAGTGGTCATTGGTTAAACCAGCAGCTTGCATGAAGGAGTGAATCACAGTAGGACCCACGAACCGGAAGCCTCGACGGATCATATCTTTGCTTATACTCTCCGACTTCGATGTCTTGACAGGAATCTTGTGTCCTAGCTTGTAGTTCGTGGAGATGGGCTTGTGGTTCACAAACCCCCAAAGGTATCTCTCTAGTGACCCAAACGTTTTCTTGATCTCTAGGATCTTTGTAGCATTCTCCACAACACCTCTTACTTTGCTCATCTCTATCTTGTATTCGATGCTTATTGTGTTCATCTCTTTCTCGTTGAGTTTGGCAACCGCTTCAGCCTCAAACTCCATAAACGCGTTTCTGAAGTCATGGCGTTTTCTCAAGGTTGACGTCCAATCAGAACCTACTTGTGCTCCACTGAGGGTTAGCAGTTCGAACAATGTCCTGAAATTAAGATAATTAGTTTATTGTTTGACCAAAATGAAAAATTAATAAAATATAAATTATAAAGAAGAAAAAACAGCAATCAGAGCATCCGCAACGGTGAGACTCATAAGAGTCTTTAAGAAATTGGTATTTCGGATTTGGTAAGGATTTTTCGAATTTTTTTTTTTTTTAAAAAGAAAAAAAAAATATGACCATTCGCGGACTGCCACGTGTCTTGAGAACCCGAAAATAGTGTAAGAATTCGCTAAGAAACGATCCTTATTTAGTATCCAATTTTTAATTTTTGTGAGGTCTATCGATTATTTAATTATTTTTTTCTAAAGACTCTCGTTGCGGATGCTCTCACTTGCAGTTCCAAATATATCAAAGAATATAGGTTTAATAAGTGATCCTAAAACTTTCGTAGGTTACCAAATCATCTAGCAGTCTATCCTAGATTTCAGACACTTTTTAACCTAAAATTAGTGGTGTTTTTATGCAACTATAAAATAACTATGAAAACTAAAAGTCTTAAAGTGATAGTAATTAAGAATTGCAAGAATCAAGACATTATGTAACGCACTTGTCATCATGGACAGGGACTCCCCATTCTTCATCATGGTAGGCAACGTACACAGGATCTGAGAAAATGACACAAAAATCAAATATTGCTGAGTAGACTAAAAATTTGCAATTTCAAAAATGAACAAGTAAAAGAAAAAAAGTATATACCAGAAGTAGGGGTGAGGAAGCTGCATCTCTGAGGATGAGGATGAGGGTGAATAAGAGGGACAACTTTGGAGGAATTGAAATTAGTTAGGGTGGATTTGGATCTGCCGTAGTGAGCAATCTTCTGTTTCCTTAGGGCTTGTTGTGCAGCAACTTGCTCCCTCCTCACAGCGGCTAAACTCCCAGGAGCCTCCGTTATGAGACAAGAAGGATAGCTTTCTCCTTCCTTAAAACTCTTACTTTTCTTGCGTTCCAAGGTTCCTCTCACTTTAGCTGAACCACCATTGCTCATCACACTATTACTCTTGAAAGACACAGAACGGTCCATAAGGTGATTGCAGTTACTTGATTGCAACATTCCTCTCTTGGTCAACCCTATAGTCTCCGTTCTGCTCATGTTATCTTTATCAACTCTTAAGTTATACGGTGATGGATGAACGTGAAGAGCTGTAATATATAGTTAGGAGAAGGAAGGGTTTAGCTGAAGAAGAGGATGTGATATTTGTCTATATATTATATGAGTCATATGACAAGGGAGATAGATATATAGAGAGTTGAAAATTGCTTGTAACTTTTAACTAAGGGTATAATATGTATACATTTAACCGAATGGAACATGATTCCAAAACTAAAACCGTGTGGATATTAAAGTATCAAATAACAAGAAGCAACAACAAAGAAAAGGAATATCAAAAAGAGTTAGAGGCAGTGCATGTGCAGATAATTTGATGCAATGATGCCATCAAATCACTTCCCATGTGACCTTTAAGTCTTCCTCTAACTATTTTTGTTCACTTTTCTTTTGGCACTTCTTTCCTGTATTATTTTCGGCTTCCGTCCTTTTGTTCATGATTTTAGTCACACGCGTTAAATTCATATCTGGCCTTGATATTAGAAACATTAGCCTTGATACATATTTATAAATTTTTGTTTAATAGTTATTTTCTAATATATTACTATTATACAGTTTAAAATAATTTTTTTCTTATTCAACACTTCTTCGAGTGTGGAATTTGTTTTTTTCACTTGTTTGTCACGGTCTTAATGTGTTCATGTAGAATTTTGTATTTGTTTTTGTGGAATGCAGTTTATAGAACTTACAAAACAAAAAGATAATGGTATATTGAACGGAAAAAGAAGAAGGGAAATTGGGACAACCTTCAAAATTGTTTACTATGAAGAAGATAAGATAAGAGAGTAACAGACATACCATGTGGTTCAACATATTATAAGACACATTTTAATAGTAAACACTACCTAATACATATCTTTATTCTCTATCTTCTGTGCCTCGTTGTCGTCTTCCCGTTGCTCCTCAATCATTTCTAAATTCATGAGATGTTTGCTTCCTCAGTTTTGTTCATTCCAATCATATATTTATAACGCGGAACATATTAATACTATGGTTACCATTTTGTGAATCTTTCCTCGTACACACTTGACTTTCTCAATGCACAAGTATAAGCACAAACTAATTAGAATAATGTGGGTTACATGTGAGATGGCATGTAGCGATGTGGCATGTTTCTTCTTGTCTTTGCATTCACGCTTCGCACGAAGTTTCATTTAGCATAATTATTCCCGCACGATTAGTATCATTAGAGAATAAGTACAAACAACAAACGGGTAAATGAATCAATTTGTATATACATCGAATACATTCCTCGTATGATCAATCATATAGCGCATGCAAGATATAATTGATAATCTATTAATAATAGCAATCTCAATTAATGTTAAAGGTTATGAATCCTATCTAACTGAAATGTTATGTTTTTCTATTACAAAGAAGAATTAGATTTTAAAAAATATTTAAGATGTCTTTCTTATAATGAAACTGTTCTTTTTAAATAGTGCGTCTATTTAAATTTTAATTATTTTTACAACTAGTAAATCTTTATATAATAAATGTGTTATGTTGAAATGATGCGTCTATTCACATAAACGATCAAGTGCAATGGTTGTATAAATGTTTGAAATTTTTTTTTTTTGTTCACGAATTTTGTTGATAGTAATGCATGAACGATTGCTTTGCCTTACAAATAAAAGTTCATCAAAAAGTGTTTTACAAGAAATACATGAATGCACATTATGCAATTTGTTTTTGTTCACATGTGCATGCATTTTAACATTCTGGGAAATTAAAAATGTTGTGCATGCATGCGGTTTAATTAAGAGAAATTCCTTATGATAGACCCAAATTCTTTTTGTCACAAATATATACCTTAAAATAAAAATGACCAAAATAGACTTAAATATTTTTATCAAAATAAGTAAATATACACTTATTTCCTTTGGTTTAACTAATCCTAATTTTTTCTGTTTAGAGATGAAGAGTGGGGGTTTTGGGGATAAAATTTCAAGTTTTAAAAACTACAAAAACTTAAATTTTTTTAAATAAAAAATGTTATTTTGGTCATTTTATTTTAAAATCTATTTTTATGATAAAAACTTAAAAAGTATATTTGAGAGTATTGCCCTCTAATTAATCTAAAAACAAATTTGTCACGCTTATAATTTTGTTGGTGAAAAGTCACAGTTAATTCTGTGAAAAGTTACTAGATATATTTTCCTTATGAAAAGATACCATTTAAATTGTTCAAAGGTGACAAATAAAAGAATGGCCACTAATTTCTTAATTATTTGATAAACAATTACGGTTTATCAAATAATTAAAATAATTAATTAATAACTAATTATATGGTTAAGTGTTATTTTTAAGAGTCCATGTAGTTAAATAATACAAATAAAATATCAATATTAATACAGATAAAATTCATAATTCCTGAGAAATCCAAAGCATGTCAAAATATGCGTCTTTGTATCCTTAAGAGTTCAATTAGTTTAAATGAAATTATCAAAATATTTAAAGATATATTTTCCTAATGATATTTTTTTCATCCTAAATATGCAATGGTTTAGAAGAAATTGTAAAAATATTTAAAGTGTGTTTTTTTCATTATAAAAATTACATACATTTTGAAGAGGTTTTCAAAGTGTATAAAGTGTATCTTTTCATTCTAGAACTTGTGAATATTTTTAATGAATTGTATTTTAATTATTTTGAATATCTAATTTGTATGCATTTTGATTTTTTTTTTAAAAATTATCTTAAAATATTGAGGTAATTCAGTATGTTAAGTAGTTTAATAATTTATAATATTATATTAACTTTATGGTTTTAATAGTATTTTTTTAAACTTCTATACATTAATATACATTTAGAGTGTGGTTAGGTATTTAAAAAAACATTAATCAGGCTAAACTTTAGTCTATATATCATTTGTTGAAAATCGATCTTTTCGTAAAATAAATCAGAAAATATATTATTTTGTTTTAATGTATAACTTCATCATGCACTGACATGTGATGAAAATTAAAGAGACCTGAGACTTTATTTGTCTCTGTTTCTCCAAAATTACAGATTTTATAGAGGCTAGTCCACTGAATTAGGTGGAATATAATTTTTTTATTAATTCATTCATTAAAATATTAGAAAAATGTCCATGTACCATGAAAATAAGTTTAACATACAATAATATAAATGTATAATGTGATTTGGTATTTTTTGTCAACATGAAAGACCTTAAATTTTAGTATATAGCATTTATCGGGAAACTCAATTTTTTTTAGGGGTTAGCCCATATATTTCAAAATAAAGTAGAATATATGATATTTTTATTTTAATGCATAGATGCATGCATGTAACATAGATGCTTGCACCATAGATATATGATGAAGATCAAGGAGGTCTGACACTTTTGTTGTCCCAGTTTCTGTAGAATATATAGAGATTTCAGAGGGTTTAGTTCTTTGATTTACGTGGAATATAAAGTTTTATTAAAGTTACTCTTTGGAAAAGTATGCCTATGTAGCTTGAAATTAAATTTAGGATATATTAGTATAAATTTTTAATGTGGTTAGATAATTTAAACAACACTAAAGCGGATAAACTTAAGTACAAGTAGCATTTATCGGAAAAACTAAATATTTTCGTAATGGTTAACCCACATATTTTAAGATAAAATTAAAAATTATGAAATTTTTGTATTTTTTGTTTAAGTTTAGCATACATATATATAAATTTGGAATCTGGTTAGGTATTTTTAAATAACACCTAAGTAGGCTAAAAAATATAGATAGTATATATCGGAAAATTCATATTTTCGTTGAGGTTAACCCATATATTTCAAGATAAATTAGAAAATATGGAATTTTTGTTTTAATGCAGAGCTGCAGCATGCACTAACATAGTATGATGACTAAAGATGTTTGAGACCTTAGGTTTTCCCATTTTCTAGAAAATAGACATTTTATAGATGTTAGTACACTAATTAGGTCTTCTATGAAGTTTAAAAAAATTACTCATTGAAAAATTAGAAATGATGCTCATGTACCATAAAAATATGTTTAGCATATATTAATATGCATTATAGTGTGGTTAGGTATTTAAAAAAGAACATTAATGTCGCTAAACTTTACTATATATAATATTTATTGGAAAAATCGATCTTTTCGTAAGATAAATTAGAAATATTGTATTTTGCTTTAATGCGTAACTTCATCATGCAAATACGTATGATAAAATTAAAGAGGTCTGAGACCCTGTTTCTCCAGAAATTACAGGACTTATAAGAGTTAGTCAACTGAATTAGATGTAATATGAAGTTTTATTAAATTACTCATTAATATATTAGAAACGATGTTCAAGTACCATGAAAATAACATACACTAATATAAATGTATAATGTGATTTGGTATTCTTTAGTATTTAGAGGTTAGATTTCAGTATATAACTTTTATAAGAAAACTCTATCTTTTTGTATGGCCCATTATAATTTAAAATAAAGCAGAAATATGGTATTATTATTTTAATGCATAAATTCATCCAACATATATATATATATATATTATGAAAATCAAGGATGATTGACACTTTGGTTGTCTCAATTTCTGTAGAATATAAAGATTTCATAGGGTTTAATTCTTTGATTAATGTGGTATATGAAAATTTATTTAAAATTACTATTTGGAAAATTATAACTGATGCCTCTGTAGCATGAAATAAACTTAGGATACTCATGGATTAATTTTTTTTTTTAATGTGGTTAGATATTTTAAACAACAATAAATAGTACAAATAGCATTTATCGGAAAACTTGATCTTTTCGTAAATTAAAAAAGGTATGTACTTTTTGTATTTATGAATAGTTACATCCAACACTAATATATGATGAATATCAAAGAGTTTTGATCTCTTATTTGTCCAAACTTCTATAGAAAATAGAAATTTCATAGCTGTTGCTGTATCCAACACTTATATATGAAAAATATAATTTTCTAAAATCTACAATAAGGAAAAAATACATGTGTTAAGTTACCAAAAATAACATGTTAGTGGCGATGATTTCTTAACGTTGTTATGTAATCATATTTTGACTATACATATATTTTTACATGGCTTCAAATAAATTATGAATGTCATACTCACTATTATAATTTACCTTATTAATTTAGTAAATGATTAGATTTAAATGTGTTTGCTTCTTTTAATTAGTTTTAAATATATTGAATTGTATTTATAATTTCAAATAACTTACAAAATAATAATATTAATAAGATATATAATTAAATTAGTGCTGGTATATTAAAATTTTAGTAGCATGAATAAATAAATATAGACACATGTAATCTACATTGTATACAGGTTACAAGGATTTCATTGAAAAAAATAAAAATATTTTTATAAAATATAAATTATGTAGTACGGTATATTTATTTATATTAAATAAGTCTCCGTGTGATATCACATGCATGAGTTCTTTACCTAGTGTAATAAAAAGAAGAAGATATAATTGAGTCTATTGTGTCATACTTTTTCTTGGTGTGGATCTCCTAGACTGGTACCTGACAAGTTTACAACTTACTCTGCCCATCTGATCTTGCCTATTATCATATGGGCCCTTATATCCAGATAAATGAAATTGGAGTAAAAATTCCAACTTAATGTAATATGATTACACGAAAATGAAAGAATATGAGGAAATGACAAACTGATTTTGGTAAAATCTCATATAAATTACAACTTAATGCAATATTATCAAAACTAGTGACAACAGCAAGTAAAAGTTATTCATATATAAATTATTTACACTTGAGGACCTGGAATGATGGAAGTATAGTAGAGACAGTGTAAAACTAAAAGGTCCAGCCAAGATCATCCATGGGATTGAAATCGATAGACATTGCAGAAGAGAAAATGGAAGCAAAATCATTATCAAAAGTAGAAGAAGGCGTATTAAATAAAATGTCCATGTTGATATCATCATCATCATCTCCCACTACAGCCTTGTCACTTGAAAACATAGGAGCCTCTTCATGGATTGGCGCCATTACATCAACATCTGACCAGTTAGGAATCACATTCTCATCATCTAAAAGAGTTGACATGGTATCATTGATAGGGATTATAGTTTGAGAGGGGACTGGGGTCTGGTTAGGAGATTTAACTCTGTTTTGTTTAGTGGAACTGTGAGGATTGATGTTTGTGATGGAGAAAGCAGTGGTTGAAAGATCAAACTTTGTGTTTGTCATGATGGACTTCTTCTTGCTTGGCTTAGGAATATTACTACTAGAAGAAACAGAAGATCTTTTGTGTGAAGGCATGAGGTTATGAGTGGAAGGGTCCAAGCCTTGAGAAAGAAGCTTCTTCTTGATGCATGAGTTCCAAAAGTTTTTGACTTCATTGTCAGTGCGTCCAGGTAAATGCTTAGCAATCTGAGCCCATTTGTTACCGAGAATACGATGAACATCGATGATACTCTGCTCTTCCTCCGCGGTAAATGAACCTCTCTTTAAATCAGGCCTCAAGTAATTTATCCACCTTAATCTGCAACTCTTCCCACATCTTTGCAACCCTGTTACATAAACCCATAAAACTACTATAAATCATACCTCAAAAATGTGAAGGGACCAACATTAGTACATTTAAAACATGGATTAGTCTACTTATTGCCAAGTGATTTTGGATTGGAAACTCGTGATTTCTTGTACATACATATATTTTCTGTTTTATTATTTGACGGTTTCTGCATACAAATTAAATACTATTATTTTGATATATTTTTAAAACAAAACATCATTAGTTATCTATTTAATTACAATTCAACCAACTAAAAACAAACTACAAAACATATATCATATATCATAAGAAGTTAGTAAATTTTAACATTGAACACGTCGTAATTCGAAATAAAAAAAAAACTCTAAAATGTTATCTGTTAAAAACTGAGGGAGTATATGCTAATTATAATGTTGGATTAATGAATGATAATGTAGCCAAAGAGTTAGAATGAGAAGGTATAAAACCGGCAAACTTGGGAACGGAACTCCAACTGGGATGGCCATGCGTGGTGATATAACGAAGAAGCTTCTCGTCTTCTTCAGGAGACCAAAGCCCTCTATTCACTTTGTGTTTCCCACAACATCTATGTCCCATTTCATCTCTTTTCATTTTCCACTTCCCTCTCATCCGTCTAATTTATATAGACAACATACAAGCTACGATTCTTGGTGTTAATAAAACCAGCAGGGTCACTATTTAATTAATTTTCCTCATCAGAACTATATCCTTTCTACGGTTAATTAATCTAATATGATTAACCAAACTTGTGTTGTTTCTCCTTTTCTCTGGGTGTCTTCAAATGGAAGCCTGTTCACGTCACTTTCCTTGATAAAAAGAGCCATCCGTATATCTATATTTCCTTATAAAAAGAGTCACTCGTATTAATTTACAAAAAAAAAAGAGTCATCCGTATATCTATATTTTTGTACTTCTGATTTATTATTGCCATGCGTTGTATCATGTATGCATGGATACTGTAAATTATCAGTGTTCTTTAATGCAAGGGCTTTATATATCCCTTAACTATATAGCACAATGACCTAATTAGTAAAGTATATGGAGTTAATTGTTGTCTAATAGAATTCAAAATGTATTGGTAAGAAGATTAGTAAGAAAAAAAATTAGTAAAATAAATCATCGGATAATTATTACGCTATATGTTGTATCGAACCACAATTAGGTTTTAGCCTTTCATATTTGACTAATTATATCCATCAGCACGCACCTTTGTACACTAAAAGTTAATACGTATAGACGTGAAGAATATAAATCATCGATTTTCATACTTTATCATAGGCGGATACATTGATCCTAGTTATCATGTCGGATACCTTTTGAAAATGCGTTAATTTTGGTAGTCAGGAATGTTGGAATGGTGAATCGTATTGCTATCAGTAAATACGATATATTTACTAACATCTTAGTTAAAATTGGGGGTAAAGTAAGGAGCACGGTTGCAAAATATTCCGACCTAATCGTAACTACTAGAAAATTGGAGAATGATAGGAATTGAATAAGTGATTTTCTTGGAGCTTCTACATAACATTTTCGCTTAAGTAAGCCACGTACGGTCAAGCTTAATATAGGTCTACGACGCAATCGTTAGTTTGAATCCGTCAAGTTAAATGTACTAATAAACTAATGGGTGGGGAGAAAGCGGTTAATTAACATAATAATATAAATCCGTCGCTGTTAATTACCATATCATGTAAAATCCTCGTCTGAATGAAGCTACATATATTTAACTATAACATCTGTGTAACTCTTCGTCTTAGCGTACTATCTTCTTTCTTTTGTTGATAAACCCTAACCATGGGGAAACTGATGGAATAGACCAGTTGGTAATCTTTTAATTTTCTATAAAAAAAATCAAAGGAAGTGTTGGCAATTGTTAGGCCATTCTGGTATTAATTTGACAACATGAAGTCAGAATGATGTAACACAAGTCTTAATATATAAAAAGTGGGTAATCATGATTCATGAGTCTGGTTTTAGAAGACACGTACGTGGTTTTGATTGTAGGAGTAGTTACTAGTTGCTCAGAAGCTTCCTATCTATACGGTATGTAACGTAAGTATCTCTTTTCTGGATGTTAATTTGTCTTACCTGGTTCGTTCTATACGTACTAGTTTATTAATGCATGAAACGTACCGTCAACAGTTTTTAAGGCTTAAGAAATATACGAACAGATTCTTATTAGGACGGGACAAACGATTTGTTGCTGAAGGAGAAAACGTGACACATGTGTGATTACTTTTAACATTGTATTTAAAAAAGAGAAGAAAACGAATAATAACAGAGATTTGAAAGCTGGTGAAGTGTAAGATAAAACAAACAACACATATACTCCACCGTCAAAAATCTTATCTTTAAGTCATTTATGTTAAACATCCTTTGTTGACCATTTCAGATGCACAAGACTTCCACAGACTTGAGAGTTTACACTACGACAAAAACCTTGCCTTGACCAGGCTCTTTTATTTGTCTCAAAACTCTCGTATATATTGACTTTAATACGGTGGGATCCGATAGGCCCATCTAGCCTTACCGCTTCAAAATTCAATAAGTGGGCTTTTTAGTATATCGATCAACATTTCAGCGATTGGATATTGGCAAGAAAAGCATCAGAATGATGAGTGATGAAAAGGTAAGTATTTTTGATGATATGACTACAAAAGTTACTTGGAAGGAAACAAATATTATAAAATTTTCAGTTTGCAAAGATTTAATAAACACACAAGAATTGAGAAATTCATGAGGCAGCCTACTTCACCTTTTATTGCACATCAAGTTTGGAAGAAGTTATTCATGCAAGTTTGTGCATTTATACACCAAGTGCTCATTACAACTAGAGTAGAAAGAGTCAAATAGCTAGATCTATAATATGTATTCTTTAACCAAGGCAAACCGTATGGTCCTTAGTGATGGAACTCCGAGAATCTTGGAGGGAGAAGTTGGAATTGATATCAGGGAGATGCATCGTAGAGTCCATAGAGGAAGAAGAAGGAAACTGATCCTCGAACCATTGGATTGTGAGGGGTGATGTGTTGTTGCAAATAGTGTTTGGGGTGAAAAAGAGAGTAGAGTAGTCTTTAGTAAGGCTTGCTTCTTGTGTCTCACATGCTTTCTCCAGCATGCTCTCCATGTATTTCCCTTGTGCTTCTATCCTTTGATTCACCTGTCTTTCAAATTCTACCTCTTCCTCTATTCTTCTTTGCACTTCAGTTTGCATCCTTCACCAATCATAATTACCACTTAGTTATAATTTAATAAGATGTTAGGTCTATAATTATATCTGAATTGGAAAAGCACATACTCATTCATATTGTGACCAATGATGTGTGGAGTAGTGAATACAACATTCCTTTGAAGATCCAACATGGAAACTGCATGCATGATCGATTTTGATTACCAATATATATTAGTCATCCATGGTGAAATCACTAACTAACCAATACATGGAGTTAAAATTAAACAAGAAGGCTTATGAATGATGTGCACCTCTATTAGTATCCTTAATATTGATGGAGTGGCCATGACTATGCTCCTTGTGAGGCTGTTTTCCAAGTCTGAACTTCTGAAAACATATATATACATATTAATTTATATTAGCCACTACTACATATTTTAATCCTAACTATGGCAAAAACTATACCTAAACAAGAAGAAATAAAGAACAAAAATTATAAACAAGGGGAACTAAAGATGAACAAAGTAAGAATTATATTCCAAACTCGGGTTAGATAGTGCGGTGGTCCTTTACAGACAAGTCTAGAGAAACTACTAAATATGTTTTTACCAGGGAAGTAAAAAAGATACATAAAGTAGGAAGTAAGATTATGGTAGAGAGACCTGGAGATGGCTCTTGAGATGGTAAAGTGTAAGACCTTTCACGCCCATCACTCTCATTATCGTCTTAGGTGTAGCTTCTGTTGATATATATCATAGTTATCAGCCTAATAATAAATACACTACAAATGAATCAAATATAAGATAAGATGATCATGATGATGACAACGTACTGTCAGGGCCTCCAAGGTGAGTGACGGCGTCAACAAAGCGTTCATGAAGCTCTGCGGTCCAGCGAAGGCGAGGCTTAGGATCGGTGGTGAGGACTAGACCTGATGGTGACTCAGCTCTCCTCTCCTCTCTTGATTGCATCGTGATTTTAACAACAAATGTTGATCGGTGATGCAATATTCAGCACAAGCGAATATTAGTATTTATGAAAGATATGGGATAGAGAAAAAAAGAACACACGACGTCTTGGAAATTATAAAGTTTGATTCTGGACCTGACACTGACGCATATAGTTTTTGACATAAAAATAAATAAAAGCAGACAAGCATATCTATATAGACTATATTATGCAATAGGGTTCTAGGCTTTCAAGTTGTAACCCATGCAGAGGATTTTACATCCACACATGTCTAAAAACACCATTAGGTACAAATACGAATAACCAAGTCCTCCTATTTTGATGTATTGACGCATGTGGCCTTATACATTTCACACAATAATTAGATTTGTTTTTTTAAAAAATTAGCTTCCATGAAGATAGATGCATGCACATGCATGTGGGAATAAGGAACATAAGCATCTTATTTGTTTTTGGTTAATTGTATAATATCGATGAAAAGATTCGTGTGCGATGTACTTTAGAAAAAGTTAACAAGTGGAACAAAGCTGATGTTTAACTGCTAGCTCGTCTATTAAGTATGTATGTAGGATGTAGCAAATAAGAATCATGCAGCTTGGAAAAAAATAAAGCATTTGTTTTTGTTTGCTTAGTTTTCAAGCAGACTTTGTTTGATGGATTCTTCTTGTATTCCTCTACAAGATGAATCTATTCCCTTTCACATCACACACATACAAGTCAGCCAAAACGTGGACTCTCTCTTCATTCAGCAATACCAACATTGGACCCAATAAGAAAACTCATGAGGCCCATTAAAAATTATTCAACCCAATCTAATAATATTCAGCCCAATTGAATCAGGCCCACTTATCTTTGGTAGCTTTCTCTTCTCCTTCTTTGGTGTTATACATGTTACTAGGTGGGTGTTCGGGTACTCGTTCAGGTTTGTGTCGGGTATTTTAAGGATTTTTTGGGTATTTTCTTATTAGGGTCTAGTATCCGTTCAGGTATTTTACATATCGGTTCGGGTTCGGATAAATTTAGTTCAGGTTCGGTTATTTCGGGTTGGGTTCGGATATTTAGATTTTGAAATAAAAAATTCAATTCTTTGTTGCTCAAGTTTATGTATTTAAAATTTTACTACTAACTTAACTTTTTAAATATTTAATAAGTTAGATAATTAATAAGTTCGAAAATAAAATTAATGAATATATAAAACCATTAATCTGATTATTGTTTTTAAATTTATATACAACTTTTGTTAAAACATGAAATAAGAAGTTTAACATGCATTTTAAATGAACAACAAATCATTTTCTGCATTTATTTATTTATATATATATATATTATCTATATATTATATGATCATAAACTATATACAACATTAATATAAATATTTAAGAAAATAAAACAAATAAATTAGGAATAAAATATGTATATATACATATGTTCGGTTATCTTCAGATATCCATTCGGATTTGCTATTACCCGTTTAGGTTTGGATATCCAATCTCTCCTAACCAAATATCCATTTTGATATTTTATTAATTTGGTTCAGATATTTCAGGTCGAGTTTGAGTACGAGTTCGAGTATCGGATAAAGTGTCCACCCCTGCTTGTTACACACCAGACAGTTTTTCTTCCAGAACCAGCTGAGTTACCAGAAAAACATAAGACATTGTACCGGTTGCAAAAAAAAAATACCGAGATACAAATGGTCCGGTCCATTTTATAATACCGGGATTTTCTGTACCGGATTTGATAAACCGGGTCATTGCATAATAAAAACCAAATATCTTAGAGTCCAAGAAAGGGAAGCTAAGAGAGAAAAGCTGAAGCAAAACTTGAGAGAGAGAGAGAGATTCTTGAGTCTTCTCTCTCACCCTTTGCTCTCTCATAGATAGAGACTCATACATCAACACCAACAACACAAAGCTCACTTCTTTTTTAATTACCTTCGTTAGGGTTTTACCGCATACGTATACTTCTTTCACACAATGGTACGCTTCTTTCTCTTTTGCATTTTCACCTTTTGATAATTTTACTTCAAAAAATCGATAGTATTTTCTGAATTGATTTCCATTTACTCATATTATGATCCCTTTTAACTTGTGACAGTATAAGTTGAGTAAAACCAACCGCGACAAGCTTCAACAGTTCGTGTCTATTACAGGAGCTAGCAAATTAGTGTCTCACAACAATCTCTCTACTCACAAGCTTAGAGATAAGCTTTGTAGCAGTGTAACAGTTTACAACACATAATATGCAGAAACGATTATGATGTTTAGACTTTATTTATTCAGTAATGCTAAAAACATTATCAGTCTCTTTTTAAATTGACATTATATAGAAAATGATTAAATGATTTTTTAAAAGGTAGATTTACAGCAAAAGAAAGTAAGAAACTCTCATATGAGTATAAATTTATTCGCCTCATCAAAAGAGTGAGCTTCTTCTAAACGGTAACTGCGATGGCTTCATCAAGAGCGATCACACCAGGAAGTACTTTACCTTCCAAGAGCTCCAAGCTAGCTCCACCACCTGTGGAGATATGACTCATGACTCCTGCAACTCCCACTTTCTCCACTGCAGCCACTGAGTCTCCTCCTCCTATGATTGTTGTCACTCCTTTCTCACTTAGCTCCGCTAGTTTATTCGCAATGGCCTGCAACAACAAAACCATAACCATAACCATGTTCATCTATCATGTGTTCTTACTCTTACTAGGAATCAGTTTCTCACCTCTGTTCCAGCAGCAAACTTCTCCATCTCGAAAACTCCCATAGGTCCATTCCAAATAACTGTCTGTGTTGTGTCCAAAGCTTCATTAAATGTTTTAATCGAGTCTGGACCAATGTCAAGTCCCATCCATCCATCCTCAATCCCTGATGCAGACACGACTTTACTGTTGGCATCAGGAGCGAACTTGTCAGCAACAACAACATCGGTTGGTAACAAAAGAGAGACTCCTTTAGCCTTAGCTTTGGCAAGGAGTGATGTAGCTAATTCAAGCTTGTCTTCTTCCACAAGGGAAGAGCCAACAGAGAGACCCTGTGCCTTGTAGAATGTAAAGATCATTCCACCACCAAGAAGAAGAATGTCACACTTCTCAAGAAGAGATTCAATAACTCCAATCTTGGAGGAGACTTTAGAACCACCAACTATGGCTGCAAATGGTCTCTTTGGGCTTGAAACAGCTCCCACAAGGTAATCAAGCTCCTGTAAAATGTACAGAGTAAGCAAAAAAAAAAATAATAATAATAATAATCAAGAAAGTAAGAATCTATTTTAAGATATAAACAACCTTTTGGAGAAGGAAGCCAGCAACAGAAGGTTTTAAGAACTTTGTGACTCCTTCGGTGGAGGCATGAGCTCTATGAGCAGTTCCAAAAGCATCATTGACATAAAGGTCAGCTAAGGAAGCAAGCTTCTTAGCGAACTCAGGATCGTTCTTCTCTTCTTCCTTGTAGAACCTGACGTTCTCAAGAAGTAAAACTCCACCTTCGGGTAGTGAAGACACCAGGCTTTCGACTTCTGGACCGATACAGTCGTCAGCTTTCTTGACCTGCAAGAAACTTAACCCTTAGAAAAGCTCTTAAGCGATTTGATTGCCACAAAAGCATGGATCTTTACCTCAATACCAAGAAGCTCAGATAGCCTAGGGACAAGAGGAGCCAAACTGAACTTGGGTGTGACTCCCTTTGGCCTTCCCTGAAAAGATTGAAAGGTTCAAACTTTAAATCAGACAAAAGAGAAACTTTTTTTTTTGTCAAACAAAGGAGAAACTTTCAAACATGTTTTGGAGTGTGTCTGAAATAATCTAGGCCTGCGGTTCGGTTTATTTGGTCCAACCATGATATCGCCGAAGTGACCCAAAAAATCGGTTTGGTTAGTATTCACAGTATTTTTTTTCTTAAATCGAATATTTGGTTAAATTTGGTTATTTTTATTTTATTCGGTTAGTTAGGTTAATTCGTTCGAATATTTCAGTTAATTTTGGTTAATTCTGATTTTTTTAAAAATTAATTGAAAACATAACCAAAAACCAAATCATTTTTCAAAACAAACCAAACTAAACCGTAATTTAAAACTATCACTAAAATAAATAAAAATTCGGTTTGGTTCGGTTTCTAGTTTTGTTTCTGAAATTACCAGACTTTTAGTATTAAAAATTGAATACTTTTAATTAATTTCGGTTATTTCGATTCAATTCGGTTAGTTAGATTAATTCGGTTTGGATATTTTAGTTAATTCTGATTATTTTAAACGAAAACCGACTTATTTTTCAGAACCCACCAAACTAAACCGGAAATTAAATCTGTAACCGAACCGAAAACCAAAATTTTTGGTTCGGACAAGATCACAGGCCTTTTGGACATTACCAGATGAGTGGAGAGGATGACTTTAGCACCATTGTCAATCAAATACTTGATCGTCGGAATAGCAGCACGAATCCTAGTATCATCAGTGATCGTCTGATTATCATCAAGAGGTACATTGAGATCAGCTCTAACGAAAACCTTCTTCCCTTTCAACTCAGCAGAGGTGAGATCACCAACACTCTTCTTCGCCATGGAGACAACTCCTCTTGTCCCTTTCCCTCGGAAAGACTGAACCTTCGAGGCGACATGGACTGTGAAACGTGAGTCGAGGACGGCGGAGAAGCCGAGAGATATGGATTTGGATGGAAGGGGTGAAAGGGAGACGCGTGGGCGAGTTGCTGCGGAGGAAGTAATGGCTCCGGTGGTTGACTTACGGAGTGAGAAGGCGGGACTTGCTGCGACCGATGCCATGTTGAGTTTGGAGAAAGAGGAGAGGAGAGGAGAGGATCAGAGAGATTGAGAATGAAAGGAGAGAGTGTGACTAGCAATCTTCTTTAGCCATTTGAGATTTTAATATGTTTTTAAAAAAAAATTTCTTATCATTGATGATTGGTTTAGAAAAGCCTAGAGAATCGATCACGATCATTGTACTGTATCCACAGAACAGTACAATATACTTACATGTGTCAGAAACACAAATG